CACCGTGAAAATCCGGAAAAAGTGACAGACGAAATTATAAAGGAAGCTACTGCTGTTGCGGAGAAAGTCGGACTGGAGGAGGACATTACATCAATGCCTATTACGGGGAAACAGCGCCATAGAAGCAATCATCCAGCAGAAAGCCCTTCAGAATACTGGAAGAGGTATTTAGTAATACCATACTTGGATTCAATTATCACCTCCCTTGAAGTACGTTTTGCTGAAGAAAACACGCCATCGTTCGCATTATCTAAGTTACACCCGGTGTAGATGCAAAAGATGACAACTGAAAATCTGAAGCAAACTTGTGAATCTATTCCACAGTTTTATGATTTACCGAACATAAAGAATGAAATGGAACTTTGGCAGCAATTGTGGCACGATAGGCTTAATCTAACAAATCTTACAGTTGTTGATGTCCTAAAAGAAACAAATTCCTTCTTTCCCGAAACAGAAAAGGCATTGAAAATTTTTATCGCTCTACCATGTACGACCTGTACAGTAGAGCGATCCTTTAGCAGCCTCAGAAGACGGAAAACATGTCTAAGAAGTACCATGGCAGAAGGTCGCCCTAATGGCCTGACCATGATGAGTGTACACAGAGCTATAATGAATATAAACCTTAATAATTTTAATGATAAAGTGGTTGAAAGTTTTGCAAAAAATCCCCGCAGGCCGTAGCGTAAATAAATACGAGGGGGGAGGGAATCCAAATTTTACCAACCCCACCAGCAAAATTTCCCAACTTTCGAAAAAATGAAAGCCGAGGGATTAGTTACTACTATAATATTTTGATTTTCTTACTTAGCTATCCAAAGATTGCCTGAATGCCTATGCTCGATAGGGTATGCACAAACAAAAATAAATTTTGGTATATGTAGAAATAATAATGGGAATTATTCTACTTTGGACCAAGGTCCTTGGTCTTCCACCATATCCATCATGTATAGGAATACTCAATACAAATGAAAGGAAACAACACTTAAATAATATTGTGCTTATTGTTTTCTACTATTACTTATCATCTTCAAGAGGAAAATTAAATCTTCAAGAGGAATATTGAATCTTCCTCTTGAAGATGATCACTTTGTGATTGAAACGCGTGTCGAGGTGTTGAATAACGGTTTGGTATTTGGATTGAAACTCCAGAAACATTCGTGTTCATACTAGCTAATTAGTGCTTTACATAATATAACAATTTGAGATATCTACTCAATGGCTAATAATTTTATTTAAGATTAGATATAAATCAATTCAAAATTCAAATATTACCAAAAGAGATCTTCGACATGTTCGGCTACAGCTGATTTGTCGGTTTGTGTGAATCGACAGTTTCTCTTAAGTTCAGAGAGGTGGTATAGGTAAGGTAAGGTCCAAAGTGAGTGGGTCTATTCGACCCTTTACCGCAACCCACCAGGGTTCATTGTGGCTCACACCTATTCACACTCGACCAAATAAACCCAGCTATATAAACCTATAAACCTGATTCAGTCCCTAGCGGGGCAGGCACAAAGTATATGCTCTGCCATTTCCTCGTTAATGAGGTAGTCGGATAGTCAAGGTGCAAGGTTCCCACCTTGATACCCGCGACAACTTTCCCATATGTGGGTTTCTGCAAGTCAGCTACACCTAACGATGCCTTAGATTCACCCGTGCAGGGCTTTTTCGCCTCTGGTTTCAGTGAATCATCATTCATGGGGGGTTTGTTCCTCCACCTGAGACAGATTATGCATACGCCGCTTAAGAATTTGGTGCAAAACGGTTTCATGATATACCCCGCTCTAGATTAGACGACTCAGTCGTTTCCTGGCTGCACCACCAAAGCCTTTTTTTAGGTTCTCGTTCTTGATCTAAATTTACAGAGAGGTCAGTTGGAGTCGTGAGCTCGACATCCATCTCCTCTGCAGACTTAGCGTCAGAAGGAATGTTTAAGTTTACTCTGTCAATAAAAGTCCCACGAGTAGCTAGGGAAAGAAAGTTTAATCACGGCAGAGCCGCGCATTACCGTAACAAGGCGATGATGCTACGACAAGAGGGAGCCCGGTATCTCGAAGGTTCCGTAGAGACAGCTGATAGGCGTAGTATCATTCATCCTCTCGGCACGGATACACACACCTCAGGATTAAGCCATGGTTGAGATGCCATTCAGTTAGGAAATAACAGAACTACAAGTTGTTCTGTCATTCCCGTATCCAGCGGGGCTACGTGGAAGCAGGCATCCGATGGCCGATTTGCTCAACCCCCACATTCCAAACCAATGCACTCGCCAAAAATAGCATGCACAGTGGTTCGGGTAGTGAAAGATGAACAATGACAGCCAACCTGCCGGAGAGGCGAGTACCTAAACTTCTTTTCGTGGTTCCAATGTATGAGTAGACCGACCCGCAGCTACAAAAAATACGGCAAACCTTGGGTGTTGCTGAAGGTTACCTGAGTTCCTTACGTAACCTCAGACTTTGTCTGATAGTTTTTGTTGGCCTAAATAACGGATTCACGTCATATTTCGAAATTACTACTTCAAGCTCAAAATTTCGACTTCAATCTCGTAATTTCGAGTTCAAAGTTAAAACTTCGAGTGTAAAATCGTAATTTTGAAAAAACGAATAAACGAATTCTTAATAAAAATGTGTGGCCTTTCTGCGCTTTCATAGAGTTGATACCTTCTATCTTATTCTATTTTTTAAGTTTTATATATTAGTTTTCTCATAACTTACATAATAATGACAAAATTTTATATTTTTCAGGTGTTAGTGCTAGAGCAATTGTTATACACTCTAAAAGAACAATAGAAGGTGAGAGACTAGCCAATTATGAAACAAAACTGGAGGTGCAATGTGATGACATGGGTTCTGACCTTTTCATGGTTTGGCCGCTAACAATAATCCACAAAATAGACAATAATTCTCCCTTCTTCAATTTATCAGCATCAGAAATGCTTCATCATAAATTCGAAATTGTGATAATTTTGGATGGTGTCATAGAGAGTACTGGACAGAGCACACATGCCAGAACTAGTTATCTGGAAAACGAAATTTTGTGGGGTCGAAAATTTGAAAATATCATTTTCTATAATGAAAAAATGCAATGTTATGAAGCTGATTATGAAGTCTTCGACTATACCGTGAAAGTTGAAACCCCTTCAGAATCAGCAGCTGAACTTTTATCAAGGAAAAAACAACCAATAGGTGAGAATTTTCTTCAATATAAAATGATTCATGATAATACGTAGCAGAAGTATGGCACAAAAATATTTTTATTAGACACTCCTCAAATATTGGTGTTTTAGTCGAATCAATAGGTCAATAGGTCCGTGTTAGGAATCACACGTTAAAAGGTAAGACCTCGTTAGTCGTTAGCTCGCACAAGTTTCTCAACTTCTGAGAGTTATTCGTATGGGGGCGATAGCTGATTAATGGAAAACCAGATTTTTTTCCTCAGAAGTCTCCAGAAACAGCACTGATTTTGATTATTTTTTCGAAAATATGATAGAACTGACCTGTACTTGATGATAATTCATTATAACTTATTCAAAAAACACACTTTGATTTTTACAATTGAAAGTTCACAAAAACGGGACATGTCTTTCGATATTGCAGTGTTTTCCAAACTTTTTTGGCTGGGGACCCACCTTCATTGTGGATTTTTTTTTCGCGACCAACATATTAATTTTTTTTCACCGTAGTATGCGCTGGTCAAGCTCTATCCCCTGAAGCCCCAATACTTTCGGGAGGGCGCGCCAGCATTATCAACCAACGACCACTCCCCACATCGTGGGGTAAGTGATCATTGGATCCGAGAAGCATGTGCCCTGAGCAAGCGCAGTGAGCCAAGAATGGCAGCCTTCTACATTTGTGCGGCTAAGATTTCTGCCTTAGTGCGGCAAGTCGGTATGATTTTAATATTCGAGAGTAGAGAGGACATCATTCCACCAAGGACTCCAATAATCAGAACAACCATCTTGACAGAGTAGTCTGGATAGAGTCTGCGGAGTTCCAAGAGAAAATCTCGATATTTTATCCATTTTTTCTCCTTTCTTCGGACGATATTCGTCTCGCCAGGAGCTGAAAATTCCATGACATATATCGTCTTGCTCTGGTGGTCGAGAAGTATGTATGTATGTATGTATGATTACGTTTATTCATTATTAAGGGGGTTAGTAGTTTACAAAGTATTTGGATGTTTATTGTGTCCCTGCTACAGGTTCATACCTCTTCAGGGTTGGTCGTGAAGAACTACATTAGCACTTTTAGGGCCGCGTTATGTCGATGGATATAGATCAAGACCGCATATGCTGGACATGCTGATAGCAAGTGCTTTAGGGTATCGGGCGCCTCGCGGCAGGCCCTACACCTTGTGTCAGGAACCTCTATACCCATAACGCGACTGCGGTAGTATAAGTATTATTACTTATAATATTTGATATATGTTTGATATGATATAATTGAAGTTGAAATACATAATGAAAAAAGACTAGCAATTCAGAATCTTAAAACTAAACAAATACAAAAAATGAAAAAATGAGACTTATGTGATGAACGTGACTTGTGGAGCTGGTGCTTACGATTTACAAGAGATTCTATATCTGGGTTGAAAGTTGAAAGCTTTAACTACTGATCACTTACCAAACAAAGATTACTTCTATATTTATTTTTTAAATATACCAAAGTGGAGAATGCCCTCTCACACTAATGTGGTTGAAAACCCCATCAGCTCTTTTAAAGCTATGTTCAAAAGAACTGGATACTCTCCCATAGCCTTTATCTAAAATGGGAAAAACAATTCAAATCAAATCAAAATATACTTAATTGTTGCTTTATTATTGTTATACTAAAAAAGTATAAATGTGGATATAAAAAAGTTCCAAAAATGTATGATTGTGAATATAAAAACAGTTCTAAAAATGTATAGATAAAATACCACCATGTATAGAGTGATAGTACAAAGAATAAATTGCTAATATATTGTTAAAATACCCTTCCAAACTATAATAGGGACTATCAACAAGTAGGTTCTTCACCGCCTTTTTGAAATGAATGTTGCCTAAATTTGCAGATCTTATTTCTAATGGTAAATGATTGAACAATTTACCACCATTATAGTATATGGAATCCTTGATCAAATTCGAAGTTGGGATGGGAAGTCTAATGGTATAATTGCTATTGCGAGTAGCATAAGGAGTAGAAGCAAAGTTGAACTTCGATTTATGTTTATAAATAAGGCAAACTTTTTCTAAGATAAAAAGTGCGATGACTGTTAACATTTTATTGGCAGTGAACAAATTCCTGCCCGATTCCCTGGGTTTGACTTTGCAGAGATATCTTAGTGCCCCTCTTCTGTAATATCAATACAGAAGAGAGAAGGGATGAGTTGCATGCTCCCCAAAAAGGTATTCCATAACGTAGACGAGATTCAATAAGTGCATGGTAAACGGTCTTTGCGACATGGAAACCCAACTCATTTGAAACGACTCTAACTGCATAACACCCGGAGGAGATCTTACTCTTGAGTTGTTTAAGGTGTTCATCAAATTTCAGCCTATTATCAATGAATACACCGAGAAACTTTGTGTTCAATTTATTTTTTAATATGGCAGCGTCTATTGAAATTTCATCAAGCGAACATTTGAATGATATTATATTCGTTCTGGACGCATAGAGAGAGAGTAAATTTGCATCGAACCAGCTCTTCACCTTCTTCAAGTCGGATGATATTATTTTATTTAGCTCCATTGAGTTCTTTTATTTCCACAATATTGTAGTATCATCCACAAATAGAGTGAAACTACCAGATATATTAATCATAGTTATGTCATTCATATATAACAGAAACAGAATAGGGTCTAACACAGAACCCTGTGGTTTCGGAACCACTACGCTATACGATACATGTATTGAGACGCCAGAAGATGCTATCGTATAGCGAAATACGTGTTATGGTTTTGTAAACTTTCAAATGGAAATCTCACAGTGAAGTGTGTTTTTTGAATACTTTTTTATTTTTTGTTCGTTGGACTGACTATGTTCTCAGTTGGTTCACTTCCAACTCCAATGTCAAATGTTTGAAACCAGTGTTCCCTTGGAACTGAACAAAATAAGAATAAAGCCAGTGACGAGACTTAGGGGTCAGGTAGTATATTGAGTGTAATGATATTAATCAGTGAAAAACAGAATTAGACAATCACTCAAAAAAGAAGGTAGGCAAACTACAGACGGGTCAAATGCAAACGGATTCAATATCAAGAGCTAACTGCGAATTCGGGGCATCGTTGGAAGACGTTGCGGTCACAAAGACAACTCCAACACAGTCACGGGTGCAGCTATAGCGATCTGCGTGAATCCGGGTCAGGGATGAAATAAAACTAAATGGAGGATATTGAGTGTGATGAAGTTAATCAAATGTAAAAAAATAATGGACAATGACATGGACATGGACATGAAAGAATGTGGGCAGACCGCAGACACGTGTTTCTGGCTAAGTAGCCTTCGTCAGAACGGTACAGCCAAGCTATCGAAGGCTTGCCAGATACACGTGTCTGAAAATACTCCAAGATATGCCCAAACCATTTCTAAACAATAGACGAAGGTATACATCGGTTCCCTTTTCAGAAATTTCAGTAAATGGGTGGAAAAAGTATGGGAAAAAGAAGTTGGAATGTAACACGTTATAGTCGTGATTGAACTTATGTCCTTCTGTCAAAAAAAATATCGCAAATGTGTAATTGGTCTTTCCATTCAAGAAACTACGTCTATGCTTTTTAATTCTTTGGGAAAATGGTCTTCCAGTTTAGCCAATATAAAATTTTGGGAAAGAACCACTCGTATCTTCTGATTTATCTGACACTGCTCGTATAATTATTTGTTCTTTGTAAGCCACGTCCAAACATTCATTTTTTAAAATGACTGGTTACTGAAAATATTTTGTAATGTCAGTTAGGCTTATAATTTTATAATAGCTATAATGTAATAATGTTTTCAAATTTCAGAAGATACTAATGCCGATGTGATTGAAAAAAAAATAGAACTCACTGAATTCCTATCGACTACTAACGACAAACGCCGTTGTTCTTTGGATAAATTTCAAAAAGAATCTTCGAAACCTTACCAGAGAAAAAAAACAAGAAAATCATCGGTTGCCGGTGAAAATTATCTTTTAAATTCAACAGGAATCCTCTTGGATCGGGATAACCTGGAAACGTTTAATGATAAGTACTTCTCGAAGGTCCCACCAAAGAACATCCAATCCAGAAATATACAACATAATATTACAAAAAACGAACATTACAAATACGTGCATCAAGAAGATAAAAGAAGCGAAACTCCTCCTTTTCCTGTAAATTGGGTATAGATATTAAATGTTAGTGATTTTGCTTTAAGGACCAAATAAAAATTTAAAAAGTGTTGAAGGTCAATGTGTTTTTTTGAGCATACACCTGTTGCTAAATGTGTTGTTCTGTCAAGTTAGAGGTACAAGAAACTAAATATAAAATGGTTCACCAATATCATTGTATTCAACCGTCTGTCCATCATGATTCAATTAGTGAAAAACGGTTAGGTACATATATTTCATTGATATTATCGTACTGATTTTCATTCATAAACCTTCCATTTTCAATGCATTATATCAAGTATTCGAAATCGCTGGCTAAGTCTGAAGATACAAAAATTCAAAGGAAAAATCCTGTACATTTTTTTACCTGTAAATTCATATAAATTAAAGCGACAGTCTCAGAAATATTTCATTTTGAATTAAATACAGCAATTTTATTAGTCAAAAACAGAACCGTGTCTGAAACTGTATCGAGGAGAGATACATACATATAAGAGAATAAATCTGAAAATATTCATCTCTCCCAATTATCTAAACAGTAGGTTGTGGAAGATGCCTGTCGGAAAACAACAACTTCACCGACTAATACCACGCTGGATATTGAATTGAAATAATGCTTAGAGACAAGAGCAGATTATATGGACAGAACAATATTAAGCCCAGCTGAACAGATACAAATATAAGTACATGAATATATTAATATTGAGTAAATGTAAATATATAATGCTACATAATGAACATTGATAGCAATTTCTTGTTGATTTCAATAACTTGTTTACACTAAGCTACATGCCAACTACTCGATAGAGCCTTGGTAGAATTCGTCCGTACTATAATAGAACCTACAAGGAATTCTTTTACTTTCTCTCTGAATTTCTTTTCATTATATATTCGCCTTAAATTAATGGAAAGGTGATTACATAACTTCTTGCTATAGGTGTAGGAAGGGAACTGAAGTAGGACTGACGTTTACTATAAGTTGAGGTGGTTTTACATTGATTTTTATATTTTTTGTGGATAAGATACACTGTTTCCGAAATAAAACGACATACTAAGGTCGGAATTGTCTGCTTCACAAATAATGAGCGCCATGAATCCATGTAGCTAGCTTTGCATGAATATCCGATGGATCTTTTCTGTAGAGAGTATGCCATATTGAAACGAAATTGTGCACGGTTTACCCAGAAACAAATTCCATAACGTAAATAATAAAAATCAATGTGTGTGTTGTGAAATAAACTGATCTTGTAATAGTAGTATCTAACTCTCTTGCAACAACTCTCACTGCATGGCATCCTGCTGCTAGTCTTTTACATAAGTAGTCGACATGGGAATCAAATTTTAGATGTTCATTAAAGAAGAGCCCTAAAAATTTGTTTTTCTTCAAATTTTCAATTTTTACATTTTCCAAGTGTACTTCCCCTATGTTACATCTAAACGTGACCACATCTGTTTTGTCGATGTTGAATAATAAGAGATTAGAATGACACCACTATTTCAACCTTCTTATGTCGACGATAATTTGAACAACTGAATTTGAGGTGGTATTGCTATGCCAGAGGATTGTAGTGTTGACAGCGAAACATGTGAATTTAAAACATGGACTAAGTCACTGACATAAGTGAAAAACTACACCGGTCCCAAAACGGAACCTTGTTGGACCCCACTACCAATGAAATGTTCCTGTGCTGAAATTTTATCTAATAGAACATTCTGTCACCGATGAGAAAGGTACGTATCAAAGCAAAGTAATGCAGATCCTTTAAATCCGTGCATTCATCTGAACAGAAAAAATCCGACCCAAACAGCAAAGTGCCTGATTTCAATGAGGTTCGACTGCATGTATGTTCTGTTGACCAGTGCCGTCTGCTGCTGACTAAATTTCCGGTACATTCTGTCGATTTCCTCACAATAGGCCTCTGCTGTGATTGTTTGGTCCCTGTTTCCAAAAAATTATAGTGAATCACATCAACTACTGATCATACAGTAACCATGGGATTTTTTGGTAATTTTTCGTCTTTGGGAAGTGCTCAGGTGGGTCATCAGTGTCCAATCATTACACTGAACGTCTCCTGTTGTCCTAAAGGGTCCACTTTTCATCACATGTGACGATCCGATCCAAAAAGGGACCGTTTTGGTTACGCAAAAGCAAGGAAGACAGACCTCGAAGCGTGACATCTTCTGTCGATCATTCAAATCGTGAGGCATCCACTTTTCAATTTTTTGAACCTTTCCAATACGTTTTATACCATCAAAAACCGCATGGGAGCTGACGCTCAGTTTTTCCACTATCCCACGCAGCCTTTGTGATGGGTTAGTCTTCACCAGGATCCTCAAATCCTCGTTCTGAATGAAATTTCGCAAACCAACGTCGAACATTGCGTTCATTAACACATTGCCTAGTTATTTTTTAAGGCTGTTTCGGCAGCACTCTGAAAATCACTCAACCACATCATATAAGTAATAATCTGAAAACAGGCAAAAAAAATTGACAGAAATGAATAGTATTAATGTATAGTACAGTATATATAGTACAGTATACTCGTATCCCACGACACAATAGAATAATTTTTTTGCAAACATATTATTAATAACATATAACTCATTATAACATTAAAATCAACAATTCAAAAATAACTATTCAACACGCTCAAAGGAGCGAACTCGTTTCCTCCTTTTCATAAAAGAGGATGTATGCATCTCCACTCACAAGCGATTTTGGTGAAATTGATGACACGTGTGAGGCATTGTATTCGTGTCACGTGCCAGCATAAGTATGTTTGCAGAATGCTGTATAATATCCGCTGTAGGTAGACCCACTGTGATTCGAAAGTTCATATAGAGTATAACGACCAGGAGTCACATTGTCTAGAGGAAATTTGTTGGCAACATTTAACTTGCCTCTAAATTTTTCTTTTAGAGGAAATCTTTTAAAATGAATGACTAAAATACGGGAAAACTTATGGATCGATAGAGACTCTGTGCATTTTCTTCCTTCCTTGCAAATTAAACACGTCGGTTTTTCATGCCTCATTTGTGAAGAAATCCAAGCATTGTGGTAATCTCAATTGGACAGTTATTTGTGGTATGGGGAGTGACAAATTCCAGAAAGGATCGAATATATTACAGATGAGTGTCCACAATGTGTGCACTTCATCGTGGATTTTAATTGACCAACGAAATTATCGACAATCTTAGAGTTATATGTACTCAAATAAATCAGCCATGACTCTTGTGCTTTTCCACTGTCGCTCAATTTTTCGTTAATTTCCGTTAAGGTCGGTTTAGGTTTCTCAATAATTCCATTACATAATGTAAACCTTCTAAAAGATAACGCAGGAACTCCTGGGCGTCTTGATACGCATGACCCATGAATCGGGTTTCAAATTATGCATATTAATTAGTTATTATTGAAGCCAAAGAATATTTGTGTAACCACGAGATAATGAAATTTTTGAGACACACTCTACATATAATAGTTCTTCTTTCATCCGTGAAATATAATCTTCTGTCAAATTGACAATTTTGTTAAATTCTAGTAAGAAAATCAGCTTGTTTTCTAAATTTAATGGGTACCAAAGACAGCGAAGAATTCAGAAATGCCTTAGAAGACATAGCCTGTCATGCTCACAAACTGGATAGTCCATTCGGTAAACTGGTTTTCAATATCAGCAATATTCGTAATTTGACGAGTTAACTTTTTAGACAGGGTAAGATGTGTGGAATGGTGCAGAAAGTTGGCAAGTTTTTCAGATGAAGATTTGGAGTCGTGTAAACTAAAGAATGAATATGCACAACTTTTGAGAATACAAGTTCGACATAACTTCCTACATGGCCCATTCGTTACACCTCCTCCAGAATCTAGTAAACTGTGTACACTCTCTGAGTGTCTGGGAAATATAATGGCAAACCAAGTAGGTAACTTTTATTTGTAGGCAGCGAATTTAGAATTCTCGGGATTCACCGGAAAGTCTCCAGTTGGAATCCGCCTTTGACCGAATATTTTTCTCGCAGGAATTTACTTATTTGAAAGTGAATTGACCTGCTATGTTACATGTTTAAAGGGACTGCTAATTAGCCAAGATGACTCGGAAAGTAATGATTATAGCTTACCCAGAATACGAGGCTACTTTTGATCATAGTAGTCATGGCAATGACATGCAAAAACGAAAAAATGTTTATTGAATGTTAAAAAAATCGTTACATTCACATAAGACTCTTTAAACCGGGAATTTCAATTTTTGATACAGTAGTTGTTAAAAAGTAGGGTGAATGTTCAAATTTCGCGGGCTACGTACTATCGATTAGCGATTTTTTTTATTTTTTACGTTGGTACGCTCGTCTCGAACATAAGTTCACAGTTTCAACTGTTGAGCATGTTTAGTTTGTTGGTGAGAAGCATGGAAGCTAAAAGGGTTTTGCATGTTCAGCGATTTTCTGCTATCGAAAAAAAAAATGGATCAAAGAATTTGTTCAGCTTTCATTTTTGGTATTGAAAAAATAAATGAGATCTCGATCTTTTATCAACTTCCCAATTTTGTTTTCGAGAATGCTTTTCCACAGAACAGGCTATATTCAGATTGGTGAAAGACGTCTTAGCTAATCTCAATGATGATAATAATAAGTGCCTAACAATATTTCTAGACCTTGCCAAGGCGTTCGACATCGTGGATCACAAAATATTATTGATGCATAGATTGGAAAGATCGGGGATAAGTGGTACTGTTCTCAATTTATTTCAAAATTATCTCCTGGATAGAACTGTTTTATAAACCCCCCTTTCTATCACCATAGGCGTACCGCAAGGAACACTGATGGGTCCCATACTCTTCCTAATTTATATAGACAATATTGGATTACTGATGATACAACGATAATTCTTTCTGGAGATTCCTGGACAAAAGTGTACCTACCAACAAGCCGACCGAGAGTTAAATATATATTTTCATTACATTGATGGTAGCTTTTTAAGCTTAAATGCTGATAAGACAAAATATATCACCTTCAGTGCTGATATTAGGGATCAACCAGAGTTTGAAAAATAACAATAAAAAAAGAAACCTGTGACCATATACATTGTACATGCCGAACTATAAAAAAATTAAATATGGGTGTAATCTTAAACCAACACCTGGTCTAAGCATGTATCATATACAAAACAGCCTTATGTGATCTAGAAATGACTAAAAACACAATTATAAAGATTATATTGGAAAAAGAAAAATTATTTTTCACAAATGAAGCTAACTTACTGAATCTTAAACAAATTTATATATACCAATGTATTCAATGGATGATGAAAAACATACACATATATTAGTCATTCCTACATTATATGCATTAAATGTATGCATTAAATTACTGTGTAAAACATGTCGTTATCACCATACATACATACATAGTATTGAAACCAATAATCTTTCTCTCTCTCTCTCTTCCTCTCTCGCTCGACTATTGCAGTTTTTTCTTTTCCTTCCATTTTGATTGTGTCTACCAACCAATATTATTCAAGGTAGATGGAGATTCCTGGACAAAAGTGTACCTACCAACAAGCCGACCGAGAGTTAAATATATATTTTCATTACATTGATGGTAGCTTTTTAAGCTTAAATACTGATAAGACAAAATGTATCACCTTCAGTGCTGATATTAGAGATCAACCAGAATTTGATAAAATAACAATAAAAAAGAAACCTGTGACCATATACATTGTACATGCCGAACTATAAAAAAATTAAATATGGGTGTAATCTTAAACCAACACCTGGTCTAAGCATGTATCATATACAATTCTGAGATTTCGCAAACTTATACGTAAATTTTATCAGCTGAGGGGGTATATGTACAAAACAGCCTTATGTCATCTAGAAATTACTAAAAATACAATTATAAAGATTATACTTGAAAAAGAAAAAGTATTTTTCACAAATGAAGCTAACTTACTGAATCTTAAACAAATTTATATATACCAATGTATTCAATGAATGATGAAAAACATACACATATATTAGTCATTCCTACATTATATGCATTAAATGTATGCATTAAATTACTGTGTAAAACATGTCGTTATCACCATACATAGTATTGAAGCCAATAATCTTCTCTCTCTCTCTCTCTCTCTTCCTCTCTCGCTCTACTATTGCAGTTTTTTCTTTTCCTTCCATTTTGATTGTGTCTACCAACCAATATTATTCAAGGTAGGTATTTATTTAAAGTTAATTCAAGATTTTTTTTTGTAAAATGACTCTCTAGCACGGGCTGACTTGTAATACAAGCCATAGGCTTAGACAATGCACCTAGTGCAAATTATAAAATCCTCTTGTAAACATGTCTACCTGAATAAATATTTCATATCATATCATTTTCTGTGAAAGCTCAGAGGGCCACATTATTTAATTTTTGTTTCTTGTATAATTTGGTTCCCATTTACTATATAACATTATTTTTGAACTCATAAATAAAATTAGAATAAAGTTATTGTGAGTAGTGGTAACTATCTGATAATTGTAGAATCTTTGTAGGTATACTAATTGGTGGTATACGTGAATGAATGAGTAAGTAATGTATTTGTTACAGATTCCATATTTGCCTCGAATAGGGCCCATGAGTCCTGTTGTGCACCACAAATCTCCAGATGGAAGGGCTTACGTGTCTGCCAAACAAATACCTGGAGGAGGTGTATTTTGTTATATGGCCGTTAGCCCCGATGGACTGAAATGTAATGCTAAACATTGAACAATGTGTTTCAAAATGAATTTTTCACGGTTTAGGCTTTTATTTCTACGTTCCTCATGGTTCTTTGGATTATGTCAATCCAACAAATCATAATAATTATTGTATCATTTTACACATGGACCAACGAAATAGTTCGAATTTTTTAAAAAATAAACGAAAAAGTAATTTTCCAAATTGCTCCTACACTTCAACAATTGTCGAGTATTCCAGAAGGCAGGTTGACGGAAAAAGAAAAGTTTAAGATTCGTGAAATGAGATGTGAGGATTGCGACCGAAAAGTATATTAGTCAAACAAAGCGAANTTCAGAAACTGTCTGGCAATAAATGTCAGATGTCATACTTTTACATATATCGCACATAAAAGTATGACATTTGACATTTATTATTATCAGATAGTTTCTGGAAAGTCCAACTTCCACTTCTGTCTGAAAGCTCCAACCCTAAGACACCCTAGAGATCAAAACAATTAAGCATCATCTCAAGGAAAAAAATTGTCGAATACTCCATATACCTTTCGAAAATAAAAAAAAACATTTTGCAAATAATATTTATTTGAATACATAAGCTCATAATATTCAATGAACTAATATAAATTTTAAGCAACAGGAAATAAAAATATATCTGTAACACACAAAACGATATAATAAAAATAGTTTCATGCTATACATTCAAGTCCATCTGATTAAAATCTACTGAATAATTTTCAATCATATTTATATTGTTTATACATGTATCTATTTCCATTACTATCACAAATATATTCAATAGAAAACGTTTTGTGGAGATTTATACAAAATCGGGAAACTTAAATCTTAATTTTGGACAAAAATATTATCATGTTTTCTCAAACAAGGAAGTTTGCAATTGGACAGTGGAGTAAATATTCAGTAATATTTCATAATATTCAATACAGGGTATTTTCACTTGTGAAATTTTTCCACATCAATGATTTTAAGAATCGTCTTCAAAAATAACTAGAACTCAATAAAAATGCGTATCGAAAAAGGACTCAAAAAAAAACTGGAACTCATAATCTATTGGTCGTTCAAGTAAAATCATCCATCTTAATCAGCATCTTTTTTCCAACACCCTGTAAGAATTAAAGATGTATCTATCTCATACAGGAGAAGTACCAACATAAAAATCACTTGTTTCACCTCTATTCAATCAAAACTAATGAGTTCAGCCGTTTGAGCTTCTCCATTTTGTTTTCTTTGGGGACTAGCAGGGGGAGCCCCAGCCTGTTGAAAATGCGGAGGCATTTGACCTGGTTGGGGCATTTGACCTGGTTGTGGCATTGGACCTTGTTGAGGTATTTGGCCTTGCTGTGGTATTTGATGTTGGGGCATTTGACCAGGTTGGGGCATCTGGTTTTGCTGTGTAATTTGGCCCAAAGGAGGCATTTGACCTTGTGGATGCATTTGGCTTTGTGGAGGCAGCTGACCTTGCTGTGGCAATCCTTGATTCTGTGGGGTAGAACCTTGTCCTATAGGTCCCTGATTTTGCCCGACACCAGCTTGATTGCCCATTGAGATACCTGGAACCATCATATGCTGCTGAGGAATTCCATGAGGAGCAAACTGGGATTGTGGAATAGCTGCCGGGTTATTAGGAGCTGCTGAAGGTTGTGTTGCACTTTGTGGAAAACCTGGATGGTGTCCGAGAGTGGGGTTATGTAATGACTGAGGAGGTAAGGAACCTGCAAAAAGAATGTCAATGAAAACCTGTAAAAAAATGTGAAAACATTCGAATTGCGACCAACAAGTCCAAAATACTTGAAATGAATGTGAATAAATTATATTCAAGAGGTTACTGGTGTTTCATGTTTCATAGCCGTTCAAATATTTCAACTTCTGAACAGAGAGCAAAAAAAAACAATCAAAAAACGAAATTAAAAGTTAGTTTTCATGATTTCAGTAATTGTCCGGAGCATTTTTGAAAGCTTTAATTGATGGAGCACAAACTTTATGCTCAAGCAGGCTGTTCCAGTGGAAGAAAACACGATTGAACAACATTGTGGTNTTTACTGTTAAGGAATTCATCTTAGCTATAGAAGGCTTTGTTTGTTAAATAATCTTTCAATACAATCTTCAGTTTATTTGTTTCAAGATACCTGATTTGGCAAATTAGTTTGTTGTAGAACTGTGAACTCTGACACAATGGCCATATTTATTAGAATTCAATTCAATTTTTAGGTGTCTCAAAGCCTAAAGTAGCAGCTTCAGTTTTCAAATCAGTTGAATCAATTTTAGCCTGTAGTTTGCTACTAATTAATGATCAGCACTGCTATAAATTTTATCCAAACGAAATAATGAATGACATGAAGTCTAGAAATGATTTTCTCACCATGTGGTGGTCCGTTTGGATGTCCCATTTGTGATGGAGCACTATGGGGTGGGATCATATGCTGCGGAAATGGGTATGTATTGTATGAACCAGCAGATGGTGCGGTGTTTGGTGGAAAAGGTGATGCGTGAACTGGAGAACCCATATATCCGTACTGAGGAATCATGTACTGCTGTTTTTGCTGTTCTTGTCTCATCTGCATTTCCCGTTCCTGTTCCTGTATGCGCTGCAGAGCCAACTGCCTCTGATATTGCAAATATTCTTGTTTCTTCTTACGCATAACATCTAGTTTGTGCGCCATTTGAAGTTGTCGCTGACGTTCGGCTTCTTCGGCTTCCCGGCGAAGTTTTTCATTATGTTCTTCACGTAGGGCATCTAGTGCAGCTCTGGCATCCTTAACTTGTGTGAGTTTGTCTTGGAGGCATTCATAGTGGATGCGATTGTCATCATGTTCTTGAATGTAGTGCAATAGCCTTGAATGCATGGCTGTGATATTCATGAAAAGGGTCTGGACACTTGTATCATTTGCGATAGACCTAAAAAAAATAATATTGAAAAATTCTCAAGCAAGTAAAATATAATGATATCTTCCATCAATGGTTGTGGTGAATGAATACCACAACCACTGATAGAACCACAATCATTTTTTGTGTTACGTCATATTATCACCATTACAACTTCTACCAAGCTTTGAATGGAGTTGGCCGATAATTGAAAATCCATATCAATATTTACTCATATAGTTTATTGTGATTTTAACTATGAAAGTTTTAAAAACCGCGACACGTGTTTCGCTATATAATAGTTTTCTCATTGGTTCTGCATGAGGAATTCATTTCTCCAGAATTGGGATCAATTTGTGTCATTGCAAATGACGAAAAATAATAGTACCTTCCAATTTAACTCTGAATGTAGAAACATAAGAATAGGTGTACCACAGAGCTCCATATTAGGTCCTATTTTGTAAATTCTCTTTGTAAACATCATTGACTCTATAATTGAGGGCAGTAGTTATACAGCACGATACTACAATTTTAGGAAATTAATTTTCAAGAGCAATAAATCAAGTATCCAATTTTATTTAATGGACAAGATTTACTTTTCAACGCAGATACAACACAGGTTATTCGTTTTCACAATTGCCAAAAAAGTTGAAAACCTCCAGTTCCATGTAAATAAGTAAACTTTAAAAAGTAATGGTAGTAGTGTTGTTTTTAAGTATTTATCAGGATTAATTCCTGAATTGGAATAGTCACTGCCAACATCTGATATCTGAATTCAATTCCCTGAAGCATCTTTCTATCAATTTCAGTTATTTAGTGTCTATATACTATGCTTATGTAGACTCTAGAATTAAATATGGTGTTTGTTTCTGGGGAGAGTCAACTTCAGCAAAACTTTAGTAATAAAGGGAACGTGTTCTTTATGTGACAAGCAGAGAAATAGCAGATACTTGTCAAGCTTGTCAAGAACTTCCAAAAATTCAAGATGGTTTATAGTTTCATGAGTAATGTTTTCTTCCTGAATTTCAGAATTACTGTAGACTCCACTGGATGGTTGAAAAAATATAATTCTTTGTGTACGCAAACAGCAGTACTCACCTTCCTCTGCTTGAATTACTCTTCATCCTATTGATGAATATTTCCACGTGTCCTCTCAAAGTCTTTATAAATTCTTCCAGATCGTTGTCAGGTATTCCGTTTTCTTTTACTTTGAATTTCGGTTCAGTATTTTGCAATGGAGCTGTGGCTGTAGCTGGAGCAGAAGGACTAGACGACACTGTATCAGTTTGTTCACTTGTTTGTACTTTCTCCCAGTAGGATCGATTTAGGTACCTTGCCAACTCTGGGTTGGTTTGTTCTTCTGTAGGTGTCGATGGACGTACAAAAGGAGCGGGCTCAACTATAAATATTTTTGGTAAATGAAAAAGTTCACATTACTCTACTATTCATATTGTTGTAAATCATGCCCTAAAGAAAATAACGCCGGCCGCCACAAACCAATCATGACATAGCTAATAGCGCGCGAATGTTCCCTGCCGCTCTAGAAACAGCGAGAATAATGCTACAGATTTCGATGGAACTTTGGCGAAATTTCTACTACATTCGATTACACTATATAAATGCTAGCCAGGAGCGTATCGACAGTCAAGTGAACGTTACAGTGTGGTACGCGAAGTGATCTAGTGAAGACATAGACATTCAAATAATAGTTGAAGTGTTTGTTGTATTCAAAGTAAAATAAAGTTAAGTTTGATTATTCAGTGTAGTCAATTATTGGTGACCCACGGGGAAAAACGCAACATAATTAATGTCATCAATAGGCATTTTTTGTTTTGTTGTTATGAACAAGGTTTGTCCCAAAAAAAAAGTTGAATGTTGACATTTCGCGGAAAACGTACATTTGATTAGCGATTTTTCATTTTTATGTTGGTACATTCGTCTCGAACATATATTCACAGTTTCAGCTGCGTCATCAGTTCAAGTGCTCAAAAGCACTTTGAATAATGACAGTGGCATACGGTGATTGTACTCTGAGTCAAAATCAAGTTTACAAGTGGTACAAGCTTTTCACAGAGGGTCGAGAAGATGTAAATGACGATGCTCGCCCTGGACGTCCCAGCACATCAACAACCGATGAAAATTTGGAGAAAGTGAAGAAAATTGTTATGGATGATCGTCGAATCACTATTAAGATGTCGGATAGAAAAGAGGCAAATCTCCAACTTCTCTTCGATATTCCAGACTATCAAGATTGCAAGTAAGTTCGCGTCTCCAATCAGGTGGAAGGCTCTTTTCTGAATGGAATCCAGCAGCTTCAGGGTATGCTTAGGGGCATAGCTTCATGCATTAGAACAATACTTCAAGGAAGGTCTGATCTGAGCTTTACAAAGCATCAAAAGTTGCTGAGGTGTGTACAGTTTTCTGGTTTGGAACAGTGTTCCAAGCTTTTGAGAAGCAGTCTTTGCAATTCCAGCCACATGATTGTGCCAAGACAACAAGCCCCCAACAAACTCATCGAAGCAGAAAGTGAAATTGTTTGTCCTGGTTTTCTACTTGTTCATCTTCATACATACGGTTTCCTTACTCGTTTCTTGATCTGGAGCGAGAAAGTGGTACCTGCGCTCAGTTGGACTGACTAGCTCTTGATCTACAGAGGCACCGGGGCAGGTCGGTTCTTGATTTTTTACAGAAACTCAATTATAAGTGCTGAAAAGGGTTACCAAATCAGAAGCTCTTATTCGGACGCCGTCTACAGATGTTTCTAAAAATACTGAACCCATTTTTAACACTCATCATTATAAACCAACTTAGTTGGGTGTGTTGGTGACTGACCAAATTGATTTCTATGAATAAGTAATCAACATGGGTTGATCAGAGATTAAATGTATGCTGTATACACTGATTTTTTCAAGGAATTTGATGAACAAGTTAAAATAATTTGGACTCCCTGACCAAAGTCGATTGTGGTTTGAGAGTTTCAAAATTGACCGTACTCAGCAAGTCAAGATAGGGTAGCTACATCTCATATAATTCAGGTTCCATCAAGGGTACCACAAGGATCTCACCGTGCACCTCTCCTGTTCAACATTTTTGTTGATGATATAGCCGAATTTTTTGAGAACACCGACTTTTTAATGTCTGCAGGTAACTTTAAGCTCTTCAGACCAATAAGGTCTTTGGAAGATGATAATTTATTACAACAGGATGTGAACAACTTGGTTAGAGGGTGTAATGAAAATAATTTGCATATGAACATTGATAAATGCAGTTATATCAGTTTTTACAAATTAAATAAGAAATTTAACACTTCATATTCTTTCAAGGAAAACCAATTAATGTATGTGACTTAAGTTAATGACCTAGGTGTTATTATTGATGAGCAGTTACGTTTTGCAGAACATGTAGAGTATATTGCAGATCACACTTCAAAGCTATTAGGTTTCATTTAACGGAACTGTAATCACCTATCTGTTAGACCCATTAGAACAATTTACTTTGCATTAATAATCTCTTGGTTAGAATATGGATCAATTATATGGTCACCATTTTATAAGAATCACTGTTCTACATTACAAAAAGGTTCAGAATAAATTGTAAGATTTTGTGCATATAAAATGAACATTCACATAGAAAACCATAATTACAACTTTTTTGCAAATGCTCTCAACTTCAGTTCACTAAGGAAGAGAAGAGAAAGACTTTTTAATGTCTGCAGGTAACTTTAAGCTCTTCAGACCAATAAGGTCTTTGGAGGATGATAATTTATTACAACAGGATGTGAACAACTTGGTTAGAGGGTGTAATGAAAATAATTTGCATATGAACATTGATAAATGCAGTTATATCAGTTTTTACAAATTAAATAAGAAATTTAACACTTCATATTCTTTCAAGGAAAACCAATTAATGTATGTGACTTAAGTTAATGACCTAGGTGTTATTATTGATGAGCAGTTACGTTTTGCAGAACATGTAGAGTATATTGCAGATCACACTTCAAAGCTATTAGGTTTCATTTAACGGAACTGTAATCACCTATCTGTTAGACCCATTAGAACAATTTACTTTGCATTAATAATCTCTTGGTTAGAATATGGATCAATTATATGGTCACCATTTTATAAGAATCACTGTTCTACATTACAAAAAGGTTCAGAATAAATTGTAAGATTTTGTGCATATAAAATGAACATTCACATAGAAAACCATAATTACAACTTTTTTGCAAATGCTCTCAACTTCAGTTCACTAAGGAAGAGAAGAGAAAATTCTGATATAATATTTATATACAAAGTAATTAATGGTTTCAATATATGCACTGAACTATTTCTAGTTTTGAAAGTTAAATATGCTTTATTGTCTGAAGATTCATATATGTTGATCAATTGTATTTGTATTTTCACTTTACTCTATGTATATGGGGATAACATGTCTAAGTAAATGAATAAATAACTAAAAATCAAATAAGTGAATGAAAGTCACGTACTGTAATCGATGACATGAGTAGATTACACTCATTAGTACATAAGGTTGCATAAGATTTTGTATAATTCAATATTCATTAAAAGTAGTTGTTTCAAAAGTATTTTTCTTTCATGTAATTCAATGTTTATATGAAAGTAGTTGTTTCAAAAAGACTTTTTCTTCCAGTTTGTCTGAAAGTTACTTCTTTGCATGATATACAAATCTTTGCATAAAGTTTATTTTGAAATTAATTGCTTTCTTTCTCTCTTTGGAAGATTTCCACATTTTTTGTATGAAGATGGAAAAGTAAAAAGCCAAAACCTTTCTTTTCCAAAAGCATTGTCTGATATTTGATGTAGTTTTTGAGTTCTGGTATCATCTGGTTGCCTTGCATACAAATATGCAGAGAGATACAGAAGACAAACATGATTTGGCAGTTGAAGTCGAACCTTGGCTTTGCAACAGGCCATCATCGGTACCCTCATACATCATTCAATATTCGAGTTTTGAACTTTCTGTTGCTTTGCCAAATGATTCAAGATAATTTATTCTGTTGAAAAAATCGAGTGCTGAATTATGAAAAATGAAGCACGTCAACCTATGAACGAATGAATCATCAAATCGAAGATTGGTTCATGTCAAATTGAATAAAATTGTATTAGAAATTTGATTTTTTATGATCACAATAATCAACTTTTTCATATTACCTTTGGTAGTATACGGTATGGAACTAGTTACTTTGAATTTTTCTTTTTCTTTCGCTTCTGCTTCTGACTGGCTCAACGCTAAAGCTAACTGCAGTTCTTCTTCTTCGCGTAGTTCATCTTCATTTTTTTTAGGAGGCTCCTGAAATAAATAGCATAATTAGTTGACTTTTGCCGGAGTAATTTTTTATAGTTGTTTCAACAACATCTGAATTACACAATTCAAAGGTTAACATTTCATGAGGATTTTGGCGATTGTGTTCTATGAAAAACAATGAATCAAAAAAGTTGTATCAAATTTAATGTAAAAAATGAAAAAAAAATTAAAAAATCTCTCACTTGGTNACATCGTCTCTCACTTGGTCATGACAAAGACAGCAAATGAGCTAGATGTTTAAGCAATTTTCTCACAGCTAGAGTAGAATGAATACCTTTGAATATAATAATCAAAATATAAACATATGCAATCAGGTAAAAGTTTTGGGACTGTTGATAAATAGGAGACTGGACTGGAAAAATCACAGAGACTGTAGACTATTTATCAAAAAATATTACTATGCATTGAGAATACTGTCGGAACTGGATACTATGCTTATATTCAATTTAGGATAAAATATGGAATTATATTCTGGGGAAACTCTGTTGATATCTCTAGCATACTTATACTACAAAAAAATGTATTAGATATATCTATAAGATGAAAAAACGATAGCTGCAGAGAAGCAAATTTCAATAAATCAGAACTTTTCATTAACTGTGAAAAGGATCACGTATGCAACCCAAGAACAAAGAATGCTAGCTGATAGACTCTATTATAGCTTGAATTTGATTTGAATGATCTTAGAAATGAGAAATCCAACTATACATACATACAGGGAAATGTCAAATATAGCGTTATAAACATTTACAATAAATTTCCACTCATTCTTCCAGTTTCAACAATAAAATGTCGTTTGAAGAACTACCTCATACAAAAATCTTATATGAATGTTATTTATATATGCCTGATTTTATGTTTTTGTTTTGTCTCAAAACTACGTGTGTGATAATATTAGATATGTATTATATTAGAAATATAGCTTGGACTGACCTGATTTTGCTGAGCCAAAGAACTCTTCAAATATTCTGCTGGCAATTCTGATTCTGTTTTCAATAATGCAGCTTTTGAAGCTGCTGAAGGTTTCAGAGTTTCTTCATAACAAGAGTCGCAGACTCTAACCTAAAAATATAAATTCAATATTTCTGTTATCTAGATAGAACTGTGTAATCAGTAGTTTGAAAACTTACCTCTTTCTCGATTCCATACTTAGGTAAAGTAGATGTTTTTGTTGTACACTGTCCACAAAAAACCTGACCACATGCCCGGCAATGATGCTTCCTTTGCATCAAAGTAAATGGCACCCTACACCGATGGCAAACATCACCGTCAGTCCATTCTGGAGCAGTGTCAGCTGAAAACATGGCATCTGTTTCCCTCAAAACTGGAAATTTGTATCCTTCGAATTTCATTGTGTTCATCAAGTCCTTCAAAGGAGATTATACTAATTAGATCAGCTATTTCACAATCAATAATATAGTTTCTGAATCATACAGGGTGTTTTGAATTAATGTATAAGAAATTAGTGGGATACAAAAATACCACATCATCAAGCCTAAATGAGGTGGGTTGAAAAGTTCGTAGGTTAACACACAGATGGCGCTACTAGTAGTACAAATTTCACAGCTATCGGATTTTTTGTTTGTTTGTGGGATAGAAAATTTTGAGTGAAGTAACTTTTGTTGGTTTGAAGAAAATTAATAAAAAGAAATTTCATGTGTTAATAAAGCATTGCTTTACGGTGAAAAATATATTGTTGAAGCCAAGGCTTGGCTTAATTAACATTATTGTGACTTTGCACCAGTAAAATAATCCATTGAGAAGTGGTTTGCTAAGTTAATAAAACGAGCTGTTACTGACGAAAACATAAAAAACATCATTTCACATCAGAATCAAAACGATCGTCCTCTTGAGTGGTCTGCACATGGTGAACTGACCTCAAAGCGTGCAAAGACGCAACAGTCGGCTGGCAAGGTTACGGTATCAGTATTTTGAGATTCGACTATCTTGAAAAGGGAATGACCATCAACAGCGATCATTTCATCAAAAAAATGCACCCTGCCATAAATCAATGAAAACGATGGCAAAATTACATGAATTGGGCTTCAATTTGATTCGCATCCACCATATTCCCCAGATCTGGCCCCCAGCGACTTTTTTCTGTTCTCAAACCTCGGAGAAATACGCGCTGGAAAAAATTTAGCACCGATGAATAGGTAACCATCAAAACTGAGGCCTATATTGATGATAAAGAAAAATCTTACTATAAAAATGATATCGAAAAATTGTATGACCGATATAATTGTTATAACTATAATCGTAATAACTATATTGAATCATGAAATCAAAATTTATCAAAAAAAAAATATTTCTGTTAGCCTACGAACTTTAATTACCCAAAAAAGAATAAACATTCTACCACTGATCAAATTGAAGGACACCAGCAGGGCCTATAAATTAAATATGCTACAAAAACTACAAAATCGAGGGATGAGAGTAATCTTGAAAACAAATTGTCATACTCCCATAAAAAGTATGCTAGATTGTTCAAATTGGTTATCAGTTGAAAGTAGACTTTACTATTTTACAATGACTCTAGTATACAAAATTGTAAATGGAATGGCACCAGAATATTTGAAAGAGTACATCACATTTAATAAAAACATTTATAATTATAACACAANAACTAGAATCTTCAGACAATAAAGCATACTTTGAGTTTGACTTTGAGGAAAGTGTAAGACTGAGGACCTATGAACAGATGGACCACAGCTCATAATTTTGCTGCGACACCAATGCACACCATTTTTTCTGGGGGAGCAGTAACGCCAACGAAAGAGGTCAGTATTCAATAAGGAGTCTTGGGGAAAATAATCTAGTCTTTCTGAATGTAGGAAATAAACCTACTTTCGTAAATTAGAGACATCACATTTACAGTTATTCAACAAAAAATTATTTCAAATTGCCAATCAAATAATTTTTGGACAACTTATGAAATGTTTATTCAAATTATTGAAACAAAATTACCCATAGTTATAATATTATCCCCCCTAACATTAGGTGACGAACAGTTGTGAACTATATAAATGAAATATTGTCACAATTCAAGAAATATCCCAGTCAACTATTAAAACTCATTCTATATGAAGTATTTTTTTTTATAAAAAATGTAGATTTGCAACCTAAAGTTATAGCAGGAAAATGGTAACAACTTGAAAAAATGAAACAACTTTTATATAAACATTTTTCTCGTTACGTGCGTTGCTTTTATACAAAACGGAACTAGATTGGATGTGCATCTATAAAAAACTATGTATTGACATTTCTCATATTTCAAAGCAAATCATGTATTCTCTTATACAATTTTCTTACCTTGAGAGCACCATGTTTGGGATTTTTTCTGAAAGCAAAATTCCATGCCTGAATGAGTTCTAACAGTTTTGTTCGAACATTTTCATGTGGAGTTGTCTTCGATAAATCATGTAAGAATTCGCAAAACAGTTTGGTAGTGAGTTCCTCGTGAACAACAGTTCCTGAAATATGAAGCGAAATATTTTACTGGAAAGTATTGAAAAAAATTAAATGATTTTCATCTGTACAATTGTAGACAAGGCAATGCCATTAGCCCAAGATTGACAAAGTGGTTCCTACATGAAGCTGTTTTTGATATATTAGTCATGCAACGATTTTTTTGGGGCAAAGAGTTCACCAAGAATTGTATACTTGACCCCAGAATATAAGGCCATATGAGAGATTTGATTGTACAAGTCCAAACATAGTAGTTTCAGGATTTCCCCTGATACTGTGTTACAGAGGTTTTCTATAAAAAAACAGTACAAAATCAGTTTAGATGATATATCATCTATGTGGTTATTTCACATTAGTTTTTAATCTAAACAGATCCCTAAAAATTTGGTATTTGACGAATTTTATAATGATTTTCTTTCGGTTAGGTTCTAACATATTTTGTAAATAATTGAACTGCCAGGGATTTATCAACATTAACGCTATATGACAATTTCATGTGTGATTTTTTTTCTATTTGTATTAGCATCACTACAATATCAGAAATGTCGTATTAGAAAGAATGTGTTAACGCCAAATTGATATAATATTAAAAATTTCATTTTCTGGTATTTTTTATCCACATAATCTTAAACGAGTAATGCTACATTCTTTCTCGATACTTATTTTTATCACATGCAAAATAATGAGTTTATTTATTAGTTGAGAATATAAATGGCCACAGCTGTATGAATAACAAGGTTATCACAGTCAATATACCTAATGTAATATTATTATATTAGATACAGAACACGAACATATACGAATTTTTAGGAGTGATTAATTTTTGGGAAAGAAAGTTTTTGGCTTTCTACTACTCCATCTTGATACAAAAAAAGCATGAGGGAATCTTCCAAAGAAAGGAAGGGATTAATCAATTTCAAAATAAGTAACTCTATACATGGATGTGTAGATCATGCAAAGAAGTGACTTTCAGACACAAACTGAAAGAGAGTCCTCCTGAAACAGCTACTTTCATAAAAAATTCTTTCGAAACAAATACTTCTATATGAACACTGAATTATACAGAAGATACTTTTCTCTACTCAGTTTGTATTGCAAACATTCGTTGTGGAATAAAAATCAGATATCATTCGCATGATTTCTACTTTAAATGAATGGTAACAAATTGCACTTACATGGAACATTGTCATCCTCACTGGTATACATCGATGTTTCGCCTTAAGACACTTGCCCCAAGGCTTTTCAGTACCAAATTGGATAACATTATAGAAAATATTAATATAGTACAAGGCATCTTTGCTCTATAGTCCAGGTAATGAATGGAAAAAGTCATTAATACCATATAAGGGATTTTCCGTAAGTAATGTCTATATATGTTTTTTGAATTTAGTAAAGTTCAGAGAACGTACTGGGAGAGGTAGGGCATTGTACATTTTAATATCAATAGTATCGCCCATTCTTTGTAAGCAGGTTTGTATAATCAAATTATCTTTATTTCTAGTATTGTGACCATGTATATCGGACACAACAGAGTAAGTAATAATGTTTTGTTTGACTTATAGTAACTTTACAAAAATTATCAGAGAGTAAAGTGTCATTATTCTGAACGTTTTAAAGATTGGTTTGCAGGAGTCTTCAAAATTAGTTCCTGTAATAGATCTTACAGCCCTCTTCCGAATGACGAATATAACATTTGAATGAAACTGACCTGCCGAGCTCCAGACAGACAAGCCATATCTGATAATGGATTCAAACAGTGCATAATAAGTAGTGGATTGCAGCGGATTGGTTAATAAGTTGTTTAACTTTTCTTATAGCAAATACTGCACTATTTAGTCTATTGCAAATTGTATATTTGTGTGTGTTCCAAAGTAGCCTGACATCTACATCTACACCCAGAAATTTAGTGTGCAGCATGTCTAGGTCGTTTTCTACATTGTAGTATATTCTGGATTCAAAAATGACACTTTTGGTTTTTTTTTTTTCATTGAGTATGAGCTTGTTTGTCAAGAACCAGGTTTTTGCTTGTTCCATAACTTCCCATGCCAAATGTGGTGTCATCAACATACAAAATTGTCTCGATATTTGAGGTGAATATATTTGGCAAATCATTAATATAAATAATAAAGAGAAGGGGGCCCAATATTGATCCCTGAGGAACTCCTCTAACTACTAAACTACTTGAAATCGATTGGACAAGTAGGATTTGATTAGTTTGAGTGCCACTCCTCTCATTCCATAGTACTCCATTTTCCTTTTAGATTGGGTGGTTAATCAATTAATTTCAAACATAACACTAGACAAACAACATTTTCATTAGTTAGTAATTGCAAATTTAATTTTGAACAGAAATCGATTTATCATGATGGAATTATGATATATAATGTCGTAAACTAATAATTATATTTTTTATAAATTTAGCATAGGACTTTTCGCCCAATAATTATCCAAAAAGTTACTATTTCTATTTTCCTGGCTGATGTGTAACACAGACAAAAATATAGCAAAAAGTGGAAGTGAAATCTGAACAATGTTAAAATATAGCATATAAATGAAAGAAACGTCGGTATCAACTTACTGAACATCATTCTGTCGGATTGTATCACATATTTGTAGAATTGAATCCCAATCTGGCTCCATCAACAAATGACTTGTAGCTTTCTCTGTAAATATTTGTGTTATTAGTATATATCAAAAATGTTCAACACAGCACTCACCAAGTAGTTTATCAAAATTTCCACTACGAAATAAAGACATTGTACGGGACTAGATTTAATAACACCTAGAATTTATGAAAAACAATGTGAATGTTAGAGTATACTTTAACAAAACAACTTATTTTTCTACAATTGCGAATTATGAGTCATCAGTGTTATCAGACTGATTAGTAGGGGGTTTTTTGTGCTGATTAGTTTGACATGATCAAATGATTTTTGACATGTGAAGTTGATGTCACTTGCCAACGTTGCCGTGTTTGAAGGTGTGTGTACGACAAATGTTAAAACATCAGATGAAACTCTCATCCTAGAGATCTTTCCGGAATTTTTTGAAAGATGTTCTTTTTGATTGGATCGCTTGTATCTCTTACGATTTTTGTATGAAGCAGCCAATTTTTCTAGATCTCGGAACATTTTCTATTTCGAAATTCCCATTCTGTATAACATTCAAAGTGATACTTCTAATTTTTGTGAAGTACCATGTCAAGATATCAGGCTTAACTGGTTCGCAGACTTCAATATCACTTTTAATTCTGGTCCAGATTCTGGAAAACGAGTTTATGCAAAAATATATGAGCTGGGTAATTTATATAGACATGTATTGAAATCTGTTTTCCCGTTAACCAGTTGTCACCACCATATGAAAGACAACCCTCAGAAGTCGGAACTTGTGGAAGCTCAGGATTAACGGAAACTTTACCTCTTAACGTTCCATTCCTAACATGGTTTGGACGGTATAAGCAGTGAAAATCGATCGTCCGGCCGTAGGACTGGAACCACCGTTTCACATAGTGGCCTATTGAATGGATAGAATGAACTACTGATGGCAACCCAACCGGCTACCGTCTCACTTCAGTATTGCATCTTCTACAACTCATGAAAGATGTCATCACTGAATTGAATTCATTTCCTTCATAATTTTCATAATACTATAATAATTCACCACTACTCAATATTTTTCTGGACTGTAACTCACTATTATCATATATACATATCGATTCATTTATGTATTCATTGGTATGGAATACCTCGGAAAACTAAAATAGACTGAATAGAAATCAATTAAATTTATATTTGCCTGAAGAGCTATCAAACGTACACAACAATGAACTAAATTAGTTTTATTTGCCAAAATCCAATGTATAATTACGTTGACTATAGTTTTCAAGCACATTATTTGTTATATAAAAAGAGCTATATCTGCCGTATCCAAACTTTCATTTCAATACTCACAAAAAAGTGAAACAATTTCCAAAGCGTGTGATTTGAAATTTCCGTTGTCATAGAATTGCAGAACAATCTTTGTCGGTTGCAAAAAATATCTCCTTCTAATGAACTTGAATACTTTCAACAGAAAAACTTCATCAATTTCTGTAGGTACACCTATATCATTTTGAATATCTTGGTATTTTCTATTCGAACAGTTTCGAGCCAGAATTTTTGACATCGACAATACGATACAGTAGTGAATGTACCTCATAAGACTAAATTGATGTTCACTGTAAACTAAGAACGACGTTTTATTTTATTTATATTTATTCAGAATTTATTTTGAATTTGTGAATTTATGGTTCATTAAGTTCTATGTTTGAATTTTGGAATAATGTTTCATTTCATTAACTTTTAGGATAAATCGGTGTCAACCATTCTCAATTGGCTTCGATACTAGAAGTATTTTGTGGATATTATACTTATTCCAGATTGGGTCATTCAAGCCAAAAGTTATTCGCTGTCCTGCTCGATCAAATAACATCAGTGTCAACAAAAAACCTAATATCTGTTTGATAAAAAGAATACCAGCGGTTGACTTGAAAATGACAATGTATAAAACATATGTGATTCTGGTAGAAGCAATCGAGAATATCTCTATGTTCATTCTGCGATGCAAATAAAATAATGTCAAATTCTTCAAAATTATGGTCAAGCGCGCCTGAAGCAACGACCATATAAGAAGAAGAAGAATAATTCAAAATTATATGATATTCGATATCACAGAATCACACAGAATATCGGATCGGTATCTTGAATTATTGATTATTTTTAATTCGAATTAGCCCATCACTAACGAGAGATTTTATTCTTAAGGCGTGGAAAAAGTGATTTCAACAGATTGAAGATTTAAAATAATTTACTATATGCTATGTGCCAAGAAAAATTATTTTAAATGAATAGTGCTTAGTCCTATAAGCATTGGACATGGGTATATTGTGTAGCAATCCTGTGACCGATATCTGATTCTACTCCATAAAGAATGTTTGAAGTATAAAACTGAATGGAAAAAGTGTTCATGGTATAATTTGATGTTTATATAGAAGTTGCTGCTGAAATTATTCTTCTACAGACCGGTTTTGAGGTATTACCTCCATAAGATAAAATTGACAGATGCCAATGGTGATTGCAAAGTAACAAAACAAAATAACATGAAAGTATCCATCATTATTAAAGATATTGGTGAAACCATTAGTTGCAATGAGATGATTCATCAACTCATTTATTTTAATTTATCTGGATTAATGAGTATTGTTCACTTCGAGTCGTTTTTAACTTTTCAATGAAATTAAAAATCAACAATAAAAATTAATTGGCGCTCCAGGGTGACTTCATTGATTCCAGTGGCGCATTTGCTTTTTCAGCTGCAGGAAAGCCCGGAAAAACCTTGCTGCACCACATCATCTGAAGATCTGCCAATGTACTCTCTCTCATAAAACAAAATGTAGGGTGTCTCCAGAGGCTCCAATAGATTAAATACATCGCCAGAACACTTCGTGACACAACTATCGTCAAACTTCAACCAGTCCGTTCAATTCAAAAGATAATGAAACAATCCCTCAGTGTTTGGTTACTTTATTTGAACGTCATTTCTTTTATTTTATCATATGCCATCAGTAGATAAATTTGTGAACCATGTATGTACCTATACTACTGAAAAATATTGATTTCTGAATGTTTTCTGTGATAGTCCACTTTTTTGCTATCTTGTCATTGAATTATTTTTTATCAATATTGACATTACAAATGAAACATATATCTCATTTGTAAACTTTTCAATTTGCACTGGATATTAATGAAATATTAAAATTATAATTTTGTTTGACCTTCCCACAACTTGCAGTTGAAAATGTATACTGCATAGATATCTAATATATGTATAAAGGCCACGAGTTTAAATTTACTATGCTATAGTAACGTTAGTGTTACCCAACGATACATTCTAATTAAAAACATTTAGTGGTGTAGCTCTACCAATTAACGGCCTGAATTTGAAAAACACAGTGTGATGCTTAAAGTGTTAACAATCATCCAATAATTTTTTCATTCGTTTATACAAAGCTGATGGTTAATTATGAAGTTTATGATGCACTGTTTGAAGATGATCACTTAGTGATCAAACACGTGTCAAGGATAAAATAATGGCTTGGCGTTGGGAAAAATTCCAGTAATATTATTTATGGAGCTATCTAATTATGAGGTGTACTTAAAAAATTGACAAGTTTGGTTGGCTACATTATTTCTATAAAATCATTTCCTTTTTGTAACCTCTTTGAAAAATGGTTTTATTCAGCTTACTGGGAAAGATATAATATGTACATAATGTGGAAACTGATATTTCACTGAGTAACCCACCATTCATCAATCTATTTCCTATTTGCGATATTTCGTCCAAAAGCTTTCAATTCTGCTGCTTCTTTCTCGATTTCATCTTTAAGTATATCCATATGAGAATTTACAACAGTACACATCAAATCTTGTTTTAAAGTGAGAAAATATTCGAGAGTTGTCAAGTCTTGGGGTTTCTGTAACTTGGCAAATTTGCAATTAGGAGCATGTTTCAAGTGCTCCTTCCATGGATCATCTGTAGACTCCCAACCATCCAGAGCTTTGTTACAGAGAAAACATTTTACAGCATCTGGTTCTTGCTTGTTTCCCGTGAAAATGAAACCAGCTTCTGCCATCTATAAATAGAAAATTTAATATAACAAAGTATTCAAGTCATTAAAGTCATCACCTTGTCTGCATTACACTTTTCACTACTTCCAAATATCCACTTTTTGAAGGTCTTACGCCGATTCTCTTCTAAAATATATTGCATTGCCCTTTGAATTTCCTGAAAATGAATAGGATTATTGAAGAAATGCCAATGTTTTTGAACAACCTCTTTGAGTTCAGACATGATCCAATATACAAAAGGATTTTCATGTACTAAGTATTCCTAGTTATTAATAATGAGATATCTTTATTTCCTCAGAAGAGCTCCTTATATAACACAGTATCTTAGTTGAAGAAAAGCCAGAGCACAGTAGAATCAAACGCCGAAGGAACTTTACTGAAGAAAAATTTTATTACCTCCAAAACAAATAGAAAAAAACGACAAAAACTAAAATCAAATCTCAACCGTCACACAGTGTTGCCACAGGATTCGATTTCGAGCCCTCCTTGCACGGAACACATAAAATCAAAACATTTGTTTTTCATGATAGGCCAAAAAGGTGAGATTTAAATGCAACAGAAAAATTCCAGTGGATTGCTTCAACCAATAGAAACATTCTAACGTTTGGACCAATGAATGAATCAATCGGATCATTCAGTGGATTAAACGATGAATTTAAGAACTCGCCTGAAATGTGCCTCAGGTTAATTCTATTATTTCACTCTCAAGTGTGTTTTCTTCAAATTAATTTTAAGCCAGAGATTCCAATACTACCTATCAAACTTTGACATGGTTCGTCCCTGAGTTATCTCTGAAGCCATTTATCAGAGCTACATAAGATTTGACGCCCAGAAAGCTCGTGGTGTGATCTAAATCAGCTTTTGTAACTTCGCCGAGCTCTGTTGCAAGTAGCAATGGTTTTAATGGAAGTAAATGTTGTGTCAATGTACTGAATACCTTGCTTTGCTCGAATGGGCTTCAACTCGAATGTAACTCAGGGGCACTGTTTTCAAATCAGGTATCCTCTCTGTTCTGAAAATGAAATAGAGAGAGATTTCCGATTTTTGAGAGTTGACAGTTCACCAGCTGTGGAGCTGTTATTGTCTAGTTTAGTGTTTATTTCATTTCAATTTCAGTTTCGAGTTTCTAAATGTTAATTTTTCTGTTTTCTATATGAGCTCCGCATATGAAAGTTTTTTTTGAGAAATGGCTGAAGTAGATTATCAGATGGCCCTTCTTTTAGAGTATAAGTTTGAACAAGAAAAGTCATGTCTTTCAGACTTGCAATTGGCAAAATCCTTACAAGAACAGTATGAAAAAGAATATGCAGTTGAGCGTCCTGTACAAAACTTGGTGTACGAAAAGATAAATCAGAATTCTTCAAAAAACCCAACCAAATCTCTCACTGATCCTTCTTGGGAAGTAATTGATCCGACTCCAGACATTCATAATCTTTTCATGGCCTTCAATGAAAGATTTTTTTGGAACAAACTTCTGGCAGTCTGCGTTTCCTGGAGTAAGCGCATGACATCATGTGCAGGAATATGCAGCTACGATGGTCGTGGAGGAATGTGTAGAATCACTCTGAGCGAGCCATTACTGAAACTGAGGCCACGAAAGGATCTGGTAGAAACTTTGCTCCACGAAATGATTCATGCTTATCTTTTTGTTACTCACAATAATAGAGATCGGGATGGACATGGTCCTGAATTTCATAAACATATGTATAGAATAAACGCTGAATCAGGTAAATTCCATATGGTCAGATAAAGTACTTATTTGTTTCTGAATAGCTCATGTAGAAAATTAAATCAAGCAATTCTAGACAGTTCAATATATGATTATCAGAATAATGACAGTATCATATCAAAAAATATGTTACATTCATAAATAAATTAAGACCTTATCATATCCAAAGGTTTATATTGCTGTCCATAAACTAAAATATAAATTATGTATATAAATTATTAAGTGCATAACTATATATTATATATTAGGATTCCTAAAATAAAGTCTACAATTACTACATAAATAAGAGATAAATGATTTTCTACTTAATTCACAATTCGTCAATGATGATAAATGATTCATAAAACAACCAATCCTTTCTAACTCTTTCACGAAAATTATAATTTAAATTAATATAAGAAATAATAATAATAACCTTTATCAACCATTTTCCGTATCTAATGTACATTTGGTAAGTCAATAATTGTACTACGTAATATATTTAAACAATGATTATCTGAGATACTTGAATACTATTTTACATTCAACATTTTTCAGGTACAAATATAACTGTTTATCACAATTTCTTTGATGAAGTTAGACTCTATAAGCAACACTGGTGGAGATGCAATGGTCCCTGTCAAAAATGGAAACCTTTTTTTGGAATGGTTCGACGGGCTATGAATAGACCACCAGGACCTAATGACAAATGGTGGGGCAAACATTCTATGGATTGTGGAGGAAGTTTCATTAAGGTAAGAGACATTGTCACTTTTTAATTGGTTTGTTGGAATATCTCAGATTCCCATAAACATAGATAATCAAAGTTCAGTACTAAACCATATTCCATGATGCCCTTCTATTTTTATAACCTTCTACGTTTTTTATATAATTTCACATTTTCCATAAATAATAAATACTAGTGACCTGTCCCGGATCCGCACGGATGCAATGTTGATACTAAATATACATATAAACACGTGCGATCGCTGCTAATCATAAAGTGCTATAGGGTGAAGCGTGGCCTTCGACGCGCTATTTATAGGAAGGCGCCGCCGGCCCCCGGCAAAAATATCAGTTTGGTGTTAGGGCAATTGATCTCGAAAAAAAAATATTCAACTTTCACACCAAAGGTTCCAATCTCATCGTTAGAATTGATTATACTCGAATTGATCCAACAAAAGCTTCTGAGGTAATACTATTGATCATATGATAAAATTTAATGAAGTAAAATGTATTATACTTTCAGCAACAGTATTAACTCTAGATAATACTTTCTGTGAAGAATACTTGAAGTTGAAATAAAAAACTGTGTCATCAAAATTTATATTTTTGTTCCCCCTTCATTTATAGTCACTTTTTAAATGATTTCTATAAAGTCTTGGAAGAGTAGAAGGATTGTAGTTCTTTCTTTTCAATACTTTCACCCATTTTTTTGTCATCATTTTATCCTTTAGGAACCTAAACTCATTATATAAAATAACTCATCTATAAACCAATGCGATTTCTGTTTTCTTGTGCCTTTCCGCACAATTCAAATCAGCACAAGAATTCACTATGTTAATATTCAAATATATCTCTAAAACACTGTTGAAACACACTAACTAAAGTCGATGAAAAAAAGGAAGCTAAGAAAATGTTGAAACTCGAAGTTGCAAAAACAAGATAGATAGATAGATAGATAGATATTTATTTTCTCCTTCATTACCACATTACATGGATTAGGTAAGTCAGAAATACATAAAATGAAATGTAAAATGTATAAGGTATATATACTAAACACATCTTCCATAGACATGGATTGTCCATGGATTGTCCATGTATATACTAATACACTGTGTACACCGATACACTATTTGTGTGTTAGTATACACAGATGTGAGTTATGTATAACTGGAAATCGCAATTGAGATACAGGTCCAGATAACATTACAATATACCAACTGACCTTACTCAAAACTAGAGTGCAGGTAAACAATTATACCCACTAATTATGCTAACAAGGTTTATTTATTGGTTATATACTACTATTTAGTTTTTAAATAATTTTCAAATTCTTGAATATTGTAGAAGCAATCTTTGTTCATAATCTTTCTCAGTTCTTTTTTGAAGATTATTACGGACGAACATTTGATATTGTGAGGAAACAAGTTGAAATAAGTTTTTTTAAAGAATGCGTGATTAACCCTGCCCAGTAGCAAATTTTTAGAATTTCTAGTGGCATACTTTGAAATATCTCCGACTTTCTCTTAGTAATTGATGTTTGTTTTGACATACATTAGGATTTTATGAGATATATACTAGTTAAAGTAGGGATATTGTTCTATATGAAAGTATCTTGGCATGATTCGTTATAGGAAAGATCAAATATTACACGAATTATCCTTTTTTTGTATTACAAACGGTCTTTCCATCTCTCTGCTATTTCCCCATGACATGATGTTGTAGTTCAGAGTTGAGTGAACTAAGCAGAACTAAGCAGAATGGATCCGATATGACATACATTTTTAATGCCGAATCAACCAATAAATTGTGAAATGGGTACTCCATTTTCCTAAGATAATGAAACATCAATTAAAATTTCCTGTAATTATTCATTCATTTCTGTTAGGAATGAAGCCAGCAAACAAATGAATATACAATAATAAGATCGCTTGAATCCACGAACTGAGCATAAAAATGGACAATAATATTTGCCTTGATAACTGATATAATACAAGTTATATCTAAATATGATTCTAAATAGAATTTAACGAGCTGTATTTTCAAATGGTTTTCGAATGTTCATGAATCCTAATAAAATAAATCAATTATGCATTCATGCCACCTAACAAAAATAAGAAATTCAACATTACTGCTATATTAGGCATATTGTCATCCAGTCAGCCAGCGCCCTCTGTAGTGTATCGTTCTACAGCAAAATAGGCACCCGTCGGGACAAAAAAAACTTTCTTTAATTTGATAATTGTAATAGTTGTTTTCACACCGAATTGACAACAATAACAACAAAAATTGCGCCTATCAAATTGGATCATCAGATCTGTGATTGGATATTAAAAACCAATACACTTGGCAACTCCGCTCTAGACATGATTAATTTTATTGGTCAACAGACACACGGCCAATTTAAATTCTTGCTTTTCGAATTGTTCTCTTTTCTGCAAATATTGAGAGATCATGCTACCGATTAGGCTTGATAAGTATAATATACCCCTAACTCGATCAGAATATAAGGAAACCAGTATCATTTTCCATAGCATGAAACAAGCCCATTTTGAAATTTTTTGTTTTTCCTACTTTATGAATTCTCAATATTTGATTATATATTTTCAGTAACATCATTTCATTTTTAAAATTTTGATTTTTATCAGCTTAAATTTGGTCAATTTTATATTTAGCTCACAAGAATTTTTGTGATGAATTAACTTTCCGATGAAATGTTTTTCACGTTTTCAATAAATTGATGGATGTATCCGATACGACGTGAGGAGATCATGATTAAAAATGAGAATTAAAACTTCCATTGTTTTCATACCACTTGTATTTGTAACTAACGTTACTGTAGTTTCGTCCTATAAGGGCATTTTCAAACCAATACAATAAACTGAAATGATTAACAATGTATACCTTCATACACCTATACCACCACAGTAGGTAATAAAAGACGGTCCTCAATGACTTTATTACCTGAATTTTGTTTACCTGTGTCAATGTGAATATGCTAATATGAAAACCCTATAGTAGACCAGGTGAATTTGGTAATTCAGTAGGTTGCATTGGCACTGCTTATGTTTGTGAATTTCCAAAGATTCTAAATAATTGAGTTTCTAACCCGTGCCTGCATAGTGCAAAATTTCCGTATCGTTTAGATTCGGGAACTTGTGGTTGCAATCTAAAAAATGGTTTGAAAACCATTTTGGAATTTCATTCCCATATAATGCGGATTTTCTTTTCCTTTTGACAATCTTGAGAAGGACTGCACTATTTCCAGCACATCATTGGACTCGAAAAAAGAATTATTTTGTAGTTCTCGTTCGGATTAGTGAATTTGTATCATCTGCATATATTATTGGTTATACTGTTTTTTTTTCAAATTACTGGAAAGGCCTGTGATGAATATATCAAATAATGTCGGTGCTAGACAGGACGGTACTAGACATATTTGTTTCGAGTAGGTTAGACTTACACACGGGAAAAAAGTTTGATATTTTATCTCTGATGACAGGTAACAAAATGTCACTTCCATCATCACGTTTGTTCGGGCAGAAAGGTCTTACTGTTCGCAAAGTCTATGTTGTGTCCTGTCTCTTGATAAAGCTTTGNTAAAATCTAATACTTTTTTCCCTTGTATAATAACTAACTATTGTTGAACATGGTGTAGTGGAATAAACAATTATTTTTTGATATGTGAACTGATAATTTTTCTGTTTTAGGTTAAAGAACCGGAAAAAAATGTTAAAACTGTTTCTACGGCAAAATCTGGATCTGATAAAACAAAACAAGATATTAGGAATTTCATTCCACTGGTGGGTAAAAAATCAGCTGACACATCTGCGAATAATACTCCTACCACTTCTAATGACAACACCAAAATCAGCAATGTTATTCCAAAGTCAAACATATTTGGATTCAATGATTTGAACGGTTCTACTAAAGCAACAAAGACTAACAGTAGTGGTAATGGTTTCAAAGGATCTATTCGAAATAACAGTAGCACTGTGATTATCAATAAAAAACCTAGTAGTAGCACAAAGGATGTAGAAACAATCAATTCTAAACAAACTGATCCTCCTCCAAGTACTTCACAACCACCGAAGGTTCGGAGCCATGACGATTACTCTGTAGTACGTAATCATTGGACAAACAAATTTCCTGTTAAATCTGCAACAAAACGTAGCTTTGATGATACCGATTCTACTCGGATCCCGTCAGAAAAACTTCCTAAATTATCTCAACCTACCATCGAATGTCCTATTTGTAGCAAAAAGATTTCAGAGGAGCATCTCAATAGTCATATAGATGACTGTCTCCTGGAAGACAATCCTCGAGTATGCATTATTTGTGAAAAAAATATTCCATTGAGAGATTATCAAGACCATGTCAACAAGTGTTCAGAAGAGATTTTCAAAGATGATGTTTTTGTAGAAGCAACTGAAAATGTACCTGAATGCTGGAAAAAAACTAAGAAGAAAAAAAAATTTGAAAGATAATGATAGATCGAATGTGAGAAGTTGAGTAGTTTTCACATTCAAATCATGTGATAATTGTGTCAGTTTCATGTTGAAATCCACTTCTCACAAAATTAGACTTCGGTGTTTTCCAACGAATTTTGTGTAATTGTAAAGCTCTAAAATCCATTTGTGATGCACTGTTTGGAATCTTTGGTGTAGTAATGAATATTATGGAGTTTTATATACCATAGATACCTCTGCTAGGTATCAGCGTCTTAATTGTCTCAATCAATTTTGTAAAAATCAATGTAAAATCAATTTTACAATGCAGCCTTATCTACTAGTCTTAAATCGATTTTACAATGTGGCCTTATCTAATAGTCAGGTAAATCTGATAATTAAAATATTATTTCAACAAGCTATATAGTATACTATATTAGATATTGGCCCACCATCGTTATTCATAATATTATTGTGTTTACTTATTTCTACAGTCCCATAGGCATCTAAACCCTGTTTTTGTTAACTTGTGTAACTAATCTTTATGAACTAAAGTCTATGGAATGGTTTTATTGCAAAATATGATGGGTGACTGCTGATTTTTCTGGTCTTCTATATTTTAGGTGTGCTAAGTGTTCCTTATATCTTATTTTAATAGATCTTTTAGTCTGTCCATAATATTTTGCATCGCAGTCCTTACATATAATTTTGGGTGAACGGCAGATGTCCAGTACATGTGAAGAAGAAGAATTTCGAATAATAAGAGTGGCCAGCGAAATTATATATGCTTTAGGAGATTGATGAGTTAATACTAAATTTTTTATTTTCAGACATAATTTTGAGTGATAAGAAGCGCACAAAGTAGCTACGATTCCTACTTTTGAAAAGAAATGTAAATCTATTGCACTTGTTATAATATCAGCAGTACGACTATGATTATTTTTATTGCCTTTCCATAATTCTTTGGCTGTGATGTTTAATTGAAAATTCGGCTCCTTTGGATAATGGTTTGACGATTGCAACTTTTAGACACTCTGGAATTACATTATTTGAAATTTGGTCTATTTGACCTTTCACTGACATACATCCAGCCAAACACTGTGAACTTGATTTGGCCGCCCCATTCACAGGTATATGTGTTATGCTGTTTCATAACTGCAATATATGCATAAGTATATGAAAAATTATTGTTGCATGTATGCAGAGATAATCATTAGGATAAGGGTTTCATAAACAATAATCAGGGGTTTATGAAATCTGATGAAAAATGCAACTATACGAAATTATTTGACTTTATTATTCAATATATTGTTTTTCAATTATTTACATTTGCCTACATTTTCACAAAAATACATCTTCCTGTTTATAAAAGGTATTGATTACGACATCAAACCATAAAACATTGTACATACAATATCAGTAGACAAGAAATTGTGACACATGTGAAGGAATTAACTGATATTTCATGAAAACTCATACTTGATTCGAATAGCACTTTATTCGTTCAGCTTCCCGTTCTAGAACACCACAGACTTATCTTCCCTTGTTAGCAGTTCGCGAGGAATCTGGTAAAAACTCTAAACAAGTTTAGTTATCAAAAACATTTTTTGATATTATTTTAATGTACTGAAATGAAAGAAATTGAAGTCGTATTTCATAACGGTAAGTGTTTTGAGTATTTTCACTTCTATTAGGTAGTTTCCACGGTTTTGTCCGTTTTTATGTCGCCTGTTTTTGTAGCTCCTCATCTCAATAAATATTTATTCTATGGTGTCGTATATACTGATCGATTGATAATTTAGTACTCTATACATTGATGTTCTTTTTTCCAAATTTCAATTTCTTGCCCCTTTTAAGCTTGTTACTATATAATGTCGTTAAGCGATTTTCTGCCAATCTTTCTCTACGAATTCAAATTGAACCAAAGCGCTGACAAAACAGCCCGAAAAATTGACCAGGCATTTGGCAATGATAGCGTGAATTATTGCACTGTTCGACGTTGGTTTGCGAAATTTCTTTCCGGAGATTTTTTGCTTTGAAGATGATGCCCGAATAAGTGGTCGACGTATAGTAATCCAGGACGTGGATTTGAGGATCCCGGTAGAGACTGAACTATCATAAACGGTGCGTGGGATGCGGATCCCATTCATATTGAAAAGGTAAAAAAGCTGGAAAAGTGGGTGCCCACGATTTGAACGATCAACAGAAAATGTCACGTTTTGAGGTCTGCTCTTCTTTGCTTTTGCGCAACCAAAACGACCCTTTTTTGGTTCGGATCGTCACGTGTGATGAGAAGTGGATCCTCTACGACAACAGGAGACTTCCGAACACTGGTTGAATACCGATGAGCTACCCAGGCACTTCCCAAATGCGAATACCCAGCAAAAAAGACCGTGGTTACTGTATGGTGGTCAGCGGCTGGTGTGTTTACTGTAACTTTCTGCAACCGGGCAAAACCATCACAACAGAGTCCTATTATAGGAAATCAAACAAATATACCGGCAGCAGCCGTCATTGGTCAACAGAAAAGGTCCGATTCTGCTCCACGACAACGCCTGTCTGCGTCCTCGAATTGAGGGTCGAAGTTTTGCCTCACTCACCGTACTACCCAGACCTCTCGCCAATCGACTACCATCTCTTCAAGCACTTCGATAACTTGCTCACGGTAGAACCTTCGCCAATCAGGACCAGGCAAAAACAGCTTTCGTCCACTTCATCGAATCCCGAGTAGGCAATTTTTATGCTGACGGAGTAAATTAACTTGTGTTTCTTTGGCAAAAGTGCACTGATTCAAATGGCGCTAATTGTAATTAAACTGAATGAGTATTCACTGATATTATAGTTCAAACTATACTCATGAAAACGGCCAAAACTTCTGAAACAACCTAATGATATACCGGGCATCACACATCTCATAGTCATAAACATAATCATTAAGACACGTCTCTGATAAACATATGACATCGAAATTGTTTGCTAGAGAAATTTCATAGAACTCCTTGGTTTGGTTTTCAGTACTCTTTCTGATGAAAAATCAAAATGTGCTTCACTTTTGTTGTTGTAAGTAGTGTTGTTAGGAATATTATTGATTTTATTTATGCGCATGTTATAAGTAAGTATTTTTACTTCAAAAATCCAGCAAAATAATGAAGCCTAATATTATTAGAAATAATGTAATTTAGTCAAAGTAGTATTTGTATGATGGTAGTTATGAATGTCGTCACGTTACAAGGTCGTTCAAGCCTTCTCGTAATCCCGCTGAAAGATTACATTTTTATTCCGAGGAAAGAAAAAACCACGTGCCTCGTAATTCTACAGAATCACACGTTAAAAGGTAAGACCTCGTTAGTCCTCAGCTCGCACAAGTTTCTCAAATTCTGAGAGTTGTCGTTCGTATGGGGGCGACAGCTGATTAACGGAAAAACAGATTTTGAACAGATCGTGTTGTCATGGAAAAGCTTAACAACAACAATATTATAAACGTAAGTTTTTTGTGTTCGCGAGTTCGCTTTAACAACGACCACGGATGAAATTGAGGAAACAAAATTAAATTTCTTTAAAAATATTTGGGAAATCATATGCAGCGAGTGTTGATTCACTGCCGAAAATAACTCAAGAGCGATATCAAAAAGAATATGAACATTTTGAAGAGTGGCGTAAAAGCAAGAATGTAAAGGTGGTTAATGAAGATGTATCATTAGTCTATACGAAAGGAAAATCAGCGTTTTATTCTCCTAACTCTCTGTGGAACAAGATTTCAAAGTTGAACGTTGCTTTGAACGTTTATGACAACATTGACATTTCAAGTTTATTTTTTTAAATCGTACACCATATTTAAAGTATTACCTACAGAAACGGTATTTCCAGATTTGGAAAATTATTTTTGTTCTTGAGACGAATGTTTGATGGATACACACCAAAGAAAGCAAAAATTTTGTCTGAAGAAGTTGGAGGCAGATGATCATACATGGTTGCTAGAAAAGGTTGTATTAAGGTGTGGTATCTTTGGCGCCTGTAAACGTGATTAACTTGTTAAGCTGACTGTGGATGATTTTGAAAACCAGTACAAGAGTTTTGGTTACATTGAGGTATACTAAAAACAAAAGGAACTTCCTTTTGATGTCTATGGTTTATATCAAAAATACGGCTTTCAAATTTGGAAAATCGGCGATTCTTCATTGGTTATAGGAATGGTGTTAAACAAGTTGTGGACTATTGGATCTGTTTCAAAGAAAATTGCAGCATTCTTAAAACTGGAAAATCCGCAGTTCTACACAGGGCACTCGTTTCGCAGATCCTCGGCTTCTAAGCTTGTAGAAAATGGTGACGATCTACTATCGGTAAGAGAACTTGGAGGTTGGAACTCTTCTGCGGTGGCGGAGTCGTATATTGAAAATTCAGTTTCAAAGAGAATGAATATAACGAGACAACTATTTGATGGTAATGAGGTCACACCGACAAGTTCAAATACTGGTGCCATAGATGATAAATCTCTCATCGATGGAATAGAAGTTTTTTAACGGCCGCCGGCCGTTTCATCGATTTCACAAGTTGAATACACTACATATGCCTAGTTTAGAAAAAAAAGAGCCCAGGTGAAATAAAACATCCTCCATTTTTTTATCATTTCGAGACCATTTCTGGTTGCCAAAAATATGTTATTGAAAAATTGGTTTTGTCTTTTTTTGACAACTCTTCAACTAACTACCAAGAGGCTTGTTTTGGATATGTACATTATTTTTAATAACAATTCTCAACGGAGTATTATGCTTCTTTATGAATATTAGAATTGAAAATACTTTTAAATTCACCATTATGTAATATGAATTTAGTTTCTTTCAGTTCATCAAAATAATATTACAAAGTGTTCTGGATACCTGAAGTTGTCAACAGTTTTTACCACATTTCTCGCGAACTGCTAACAAGAAAGGTAATGGGGTAGTTCCACCCCTGCTCGGGGGTTGATTTAGTTTAATTAAAAACTAGCTTGCCAAGTGTCCTCCATAAAAATAAGTTTGACTTGTTTTTGCATGTTTTCAGATTCTTTATAGGGGACAAAATAGAGAGGCTGGTACATTTTCAAATTGACACACTGTAGTAAACAGTGGTAAACATGGTTTTACATTCCTACATAAAAATAGATTCTGTACAAAATTTCTAACAAGCTGAGTAAAATTTTCAGAATCTGGCAACATATTTTTTTAATTCAGACTTGATATTTGTTAACAGTGATAACAAAAAATTGAACATTTTGTGAAAATGTTTGAAATAAGTCACGATTAGAAGAATGTGATCGTGAGAAGAAAGTTTATTATCAGAAATGGACCCTAAAAACTTGTTTTATAGTATTATCGATTTTGGAATGGCCGTATCTTGAAAAATATATGAGTCCGACAAATTTTGAATAAAGATATGTATCACAAATCACATAACAAAATCTAAAATTTTACCGAGAAGGTTATTCATTGCAATCACATCAGTCAAAATGAAGTTTTAATTGAATGAAAAAAATCACTGTCAATATAAATGAATAAAATATTAGCAAAATGCAGCATAGAGTAGCATTTTCAAGACCTAAATGTACAGTAATATGAATCTGTAACACGTTTTTCTACATTGATGGCATAACGAAAAATATACAGAACATGAAATTTATCCATTTGTTATCAATATTACAAAGAGTGCTGTTGTCACCTTATCACTAATTCATACATTTTTTGTCACTCGTGTCATGCTTACAGCAACGAGTTATAGGATATGCCTAGATCACTTTGATCAAAATTAGAACATTTCAACAATTTCTCGTCAACATACAGATTTCTTCATCGGCAACTGCGTACCCAGTAGATTTTCTTTCTGTTCTTGGATCTATGCATAGTGAGGTTTCTGCCTGAAAAATATAGAGAAGAGAACTGATTAGAGCTCCAAATGAAAAGCAAAGAAATTAGCTATCATTATAAAACATTTGAGTTGCAGATAAAAATGTCTAGTCGACGGAATAGGGGGGAAATCTCATCAATTTTGATACAACTCAGTAATCGATGTATTTTCATGACTTGCAACAGACGAACTTTTCAAAATCTGAATATTCTGAATCTTACGAGCAACTAAGCTGTTTTTCCCTTCTAGGAAGACGTCTGTCACTCGCTTTTTTCAAGTCTGCAAGAAACTCTGCAGGTTCATGTGCTTTTGGCGCTTTCTCCCATCTTTTGATGACACTCATGCCACATTCTTTTTTCCTGTACTAATTTGTAAAGGTTTATCATGTTTTTCTGGACTTATTCTTTGGTACTCGTAAATGGCTTTATTCCTGTGAACAAGTGACTCATATTCGTATAAGACGTAATGCCACCTGCCACTTTGTTCTATTGTCTGCTGCTAAGCGTTAGAAAGTAATTTTGTTCACGTTTATTCTAAATGAATAGTGTACAGTGATTATTTTCATTTAATACCACTGCACCGTTGAAGCAGTCCTTCAGATATTTTTTCAATTGGGCTCTTCATGGTTTCTCTTCTGTACGTGGACCATTAAAAAAATAACGTGAATATTCAAATTTCGCGGGCTATGTACATTCGATTAGCGTTTTTTTATGTTGGTACACATGTTCACAGTTTCAGCTGATCAGCATGTTTAGTTTGTTGGTGAGATGCATACAAGTTAGAAATGTTTTACGTGTTCGGCAATATTCAGCTATAGAAAAAAAAATGATGAAAGAATTTGCATCAAATTTTGTAAAAAATGGAATTGAGTGCTCAAAAATACTTGAACTTTCGCCACTGTCAACAACAAAAAAAATGTTAACGAGAATCGTCGAAGGACTATTAGAGTTGCTGATGGTGTCGGCATATCACTTGGCTCATGCCAAGCAATGTACATGAAGCGTGTGTCAGTAAAGTTCGTTCCAAAATTGCCGATTTCCGACTAAAAATCGTCCCAATCGTCCCATTGGAAGAACCCAAGAGAGCCAAGACCAAAAAAGCACGCCAAGTTCGATAAAATGACATGGTTTTCTTCGATTACCCTGGCGTAGTGCATCAGGAGTTCTTGCTACATGGTCGTATCACAGTAGAATAATATTACCTGTAGGCTCTTTTACCACGTGATCCGCCCGAGTTGCCGGGGAGCTTCAACCGCTCTTGTGCCTCGTGTCCACTTGCAAGTAACTTGCGAAAGTTTTTTCACCAAGTACTTGCCGGCGTGTCTATACTGCAGTCTAATTGTTTTGAAATTTATTGCGGCAAATTACTCTAGCAAGTTTCTTTGCTTGAGTAACGTGTACACACACTTCCAGAAAAATGTCGTCTCAGCAAGTGGTTGCTGCTGTTGTAACATGTTTTAAAAAAACAAATAAAAAAAAAGAAAATAACAAAAAGCGTAGAAAAATTCGGGTCATAAAATGGATTCAGCGAAGATCTACGTTATGCATGGCAATGGCTTTGGCTGACGCAAAATATAGATTACTTTATGTGGATATTGGCTGCAATGGTAGAGTATCAGATGGTGGTGTATATAATATGTGTTCTCTGTCTAGAGCTTTGGAAGAAAATACTATGAATTTGCCTGCTCCACGGCCACTTCCAGGAAGAGAAAACTTATCACCGTTTGTAGTCGTAGAAGACGACGCATTTGCAATGAAACCATACTTGCTTAAGTCCTATCCGTTCAAAAACCAGCCAGATCCAAATCGTGTATTTAATTACCGGCTATCACGAGCAAGAAGGATAATTGAGAACGTATTTGGTATTATAGCAAATCGTTTTCGAATCTTGAGAAAACCTATAGGCACAACTTGTCCCGGAAAATTGTTTTGGCAATATGCGTCCTTCATAATTTTTTAATGATCTGAAATGATGAAATATACTCTAGGCAAATTTAATTGCTAGTGGGCAGGAGGCTTTGGGATGAGATTCTCATCCAACGCGTTCAGTGCTGTAGTATCGAAGGATTCGACGGTGCCACAGGCATCGGATTAGTTATAATAAACGGTCGGAAATTGTATTGTGTTTAGTTCATTCGCTGTTGTTATTATTATTTTTAGTTTTTGTAGTTGGTTATTGTTTTTTATTTTATTATTAAGTGACTAGAAAATGGAAGATGTAAAAAAGACATTATTATATGAGCGCACGCCTATGGTAAAATAACGAAATTGGCTCCGCACTTCTCTTCGTTGTCACCGAGAACTTTGTGAATGTATGAATGAAAATAGTGGGAGTGGATTTACTGGCTGATTTTTACTATGGTCGTATGGTCAATAAGGAGTATTATCTTGAAGTTGCACCGCTTGCGAGAAGCATTACAAGAAACTCCGGTGTTGTGGAAAAACAGTTCGTGGCTTTAGCATCACGATAATGCACCTGCAAAATCGTCATTGCTTGTTAGCAATTTTTTGGTCAAAAACAACACCGTAATCATTCCTCGGCCACCTTATTCACCAGATTTGGCCTTCCTGATCCCAAGATTAAAGAGACCCGTGAAAGGATGGTGTTTTGTGACGATTGAGGAGGTAAAAACCAAAAAGTGTATATCAGAAATGCTTTGATGTTTGGAAAAAATGCTGGCACGAGTGTATTATATCAGAGAGGGTCTACTTTGAAGGGGAAAAATTCGAAATTTATGAATAAATATTTTTTGAGGAAAATGCCTATACCTACTATATTTTGATGATGCTTGCTTGTTGGCAAGATGTATCAAGAAATAATGTTTCACAGCTTTATATATTGTGTTATGAAAGAACGTACCTGTCCACAGTACGAGCTGCATTTGTTACAGTTATAAACATGTCCATTTCTCACTGGTCTCATCCCATTACAATGGTGATTTTTATCTCTCTCTGTAAAAGTACTTGATGAATGTATTATGTTTATTTAAACTGGTATTTTTTGTCCGTGCTAAGAATCACACGTTAAAAGGTAAACACTTCCTAATTTTCAGATAGGTACCACAAGTATTGGGGATTGCTTTTTATTTGGAGGCAACAGCTTATTGACAAAAAAAACAAACTTACTCTGAACTACAATACGACAAATTTTCGACTCAATACCAAAACTTCTTCAGGACGATAGAAATGAAAACAGTGAAAAAAAAAACATTGCAGAATACTTACACGTAAACTCAGTAAATGGTACTTGTTACTTAACAAACATAAAAACAGATACAAATTTAAACTTGGTTTGGATGTTAAACTTTTTTGCATATCTAATGTCTAATGTTGATGTAAATATTTTAAAGGCTAACTGTAATGACAAAAGTGACATCAAAAGTAGAAAAAAAATTATTCCGTAATTAGTTTAACCGATTATATGCCATGTGATTTTAATTTAATCTAATATGAATCAACGAAATTGATACTTCTCCATATACATATGCAGGGTGTATATTAGGCGTTTAGAACATAAGTCCATAGAAAGTTTTTTTCTTAAAATGGTTCTAAGAATTACCTCCTTAAATATTAGCATGTGTTTAAGGAACACCCTGTATGTACTTTTTTCATAACACACTACAAGTAATCACCAACTGAAATTAATGACATCAATAAAGATACATGACCGTATGATAAATATCACTGCTCAATATTTGTTTTTTGGTTTATAAAATTCGAATTATCATGGATTTGTACCATTTTCATAGCAAGCCTTTTGAACATATGTTTCTCTCTGAATGTGAAACTCATGTTCTATAAACCTCACAGATTTTCACCAACTTGAGATAGTTGAGCAAAATCGGAGTTCTTTCCTTTTAACGTGTAATCATTCTAAGTGAATAAAAATATTATTTATTGTCTTCCCAAATATCTTTGGAAAATTTAGGATGGATTGAACCTAAAAGAAAACCTTGTATTTTTTGGCAAATATTTGAGATAATTTTCAAATCAAATATTATGCGTATGTTTACCTTGAACTGCTGACTGTTTTCTTTTTTCACTTCTTGATTTACTGCTACGATGAACCACTCCATTGGCATAAATGGAACTACATGACATAGTCGTGCAAACTGACTGCCTCCCCACTGCTAATCTACAAACAGTTATTGAAATCAGGTCAAAAATATTGATGAACAATTTTTAAAAATATCGACTATGTATAGTCGAAGTAAACGATAGTGTGCAAATTCAAAGTTGGTGGCACTCTCAAAGGCCAAAAAAAACAATACATAGAAATTAACCGGCTGCGAACTAGTCCACGTGGACTGTAGAATTGGCAGTTCGTTTTGGATAATTTTTACTAACCGAGTTTCATGATTGGCTGAAGAGTCATAAAATTAAATTTAAAGTCATGTTACGGTGACGAATAGAAATCAGGGAATGCGGTGATGGTTATCGGCGTCGTGTTCAGTTCAGGAACTGATTGCCATTTGAGTGTTGAAATTCGATATTGGTGCAGTTATAATTACTTGAAATTTTTGTTACCTGTTAAAAATGCGGCATCCTTGGACAGTTACTAATAGTAATAAGGAGTGTGATTACAACGCAGAGTTTTTCCAATGTAGTGATTCCAATAGCAATGGTGAAAAATGCGAAAAAGAGATACCAGTGAATAAGATTTGGATGCATTTGAATATTGAAACACAGAGAGTATGTTTCAATGTATATAAGAATCTACATCTCAAGTTTGGTTTCGAGGGAAACAAGCTATTACAAGCAACATCAAATTTGACAGAAATTCCTTTCTAAACCGTACGTAAAATAATCAAAAACAAACCTTATGAACGCAAGACGCGATGTGATACAGGGTTACCAAAACCTATAGATGTTTATCTAATAAAATCATTGGAAAAAACAATACAAAACATTACAAAAGCAATGAGGTTTCTACAACTGAAATCATAAGGAAGACATTCAAAACTTCCGGCCATAATTAACGTGAGCTGCTGTGACATAACTCTTCAGAATTGGAATTCAGATTTGAAATAATGAACAAACGTCAAGCAGTTATGGGAAGCAGAAGAATAGTGGAATTGCGTAATAAATACTTAGAACAAATAACTAAATATAGACAAGAACCGCAAAGTTTTCTTCACTCCTGTGAAGTACCAGTACTGAGGAAGCTACTGTTCTAATGAAAAGGGTATTGAAAATAAATTCTATAGGATCTTCCAACAGAGACTTCCGAACTTTGACAATTGATAACGACCATCTTGTGAAGCTATATCTGTCAAATTGGTTGTTACATTTATTCAGTTTGTCACTGTGCGCGGATATAGCATTCAAAAACACGTGCAAATAATAACATTGTTTTATCAAAATGTGTGTTCTGTTCGGGCAACGTACCACAAGCTTCGCCCATTTTATGGTCGCCATAATTATCCTACCGAGAGGACTATTCTGAATATGGTGGATTAATTTGAGCACACTGGTTCAGTAAACGATTGACTAACACCCGTACGTCGACGAATCGCAAGATCTGCCGAAAAAATCGCCGCTGTCTATGAGAGTGTGCAGGATAATCCGCGTCGTTCTCAAGAAATCGGCTTTTCGCAGACCACAACTTAGGCCTGCACCCGTACAAAATTCAACTAACCCAGGAACTGGGTAAATGGTCATAGACAACGACGTGTGTTCGCTCTGAGCTCTGGAGCAGTTAGTAACTGACCCTACTTTTCACAGGAAAATCATTTCTGGATGAATGGGTACGTGAATAAACAAAATTGTCGAATTTGGGACGATACCAATCCACATGAGATCCAAGAGCGTCCAATGGCGGTATCATTGGTCCATATTTCTTCGAGAACGACGTTGGCTAGGTCATCACTGTCAACGGCTAGCACCATCGATTATTACCAACTTCTTTTGGCCTGAATTGGATGGTCTGGACGCCAACGACATGTGGTTTCGGTAGGACAACGCTACCTGCCACACAGCCCATGCCACATTAGATATTATGCATAAGCAATTTAAGGGCATAAGTGATGTGAATTGGCCACAGAGATCATGTGATTTGACCCCGTTGGAGTTTTTCTTGTAGGGGGTTTCTTAAGTCGCAGGTGTATGCGAATAAGCCACAAACCACAACGGCCCTCAAAGCAAACCATACCATCGTTCAAAGTGTGTATGTGTGATATCACACACACACACTTTGTTTTATTCAAATTTGAAGAAAGAAAGCGCTCAATTGAAGACCTTATGTATATTGTGAAAATTTGTAGTTATTATCATGACCAGTTTTATTGATTTTCACCAAGTAACAAGTCAGTGTATTGAAAATTCTTGAGTGTTCTCTTCAACTGTGCAGCGACTTCAGTTAAGGAGAAAATACCACCACTTCAATTATTTAACCAACAATAGAACAGTATAACAGATCTTTAAAGTTGGTCCAATGTTATCAACAAACCTTAAAATGCGCTGTCTACAGGGAAAACATATCCTGGATATTCTGTTGGTAGCTAAATATGTCAATATGCTGGTTATGTGGGGTTTCATTTCGGTTTTAACTTCACCATTTAAGAAGCAATATAGAACTGCCACAAAAAATCCCTAAAACATGTTTCAGTTGTAGATTTTTTAACGTAATCAGCAATATTATTACCTGAAAGCTTCCAAAAAGAGTATCGAAGATGAGCCAAATATATGTTTGTCCGATAAAATAAAAAATCAACAATATGGCGTAGTGCACTCCAAATAGTGGTACCAAAACTAGGGTCGATTTTGCCCATTTCTGGTATCTCTGTGTGTCCTCGCAAATTGGAGAATTCAGTTTTGTGTAGAGTACTATAGATATAATGATGAACAGAGCGAAATTTATCTGAAAAATAATTGCAATCTTCAAAAAACATAAGTGCAAAATGTATGAAAGGGTACTATCCATGATAATAATTGAACAAATTTCACAAACATTTTCTATTTCGAGATGGTTTTCGCTAATAACGTAGGTTCCTCGGTATTATCATGGATAGTGTTATTAATTTTCATCAAGTAGTGAGTCAGTCTATTTTTTATGGAAGGGTATATATCTACTTTCTCAAGTTTTCAGTATATAACGAGATCTGGAAGTCTGAAGGCCCTGAATGCCCCTAATTTTTCTGATGATAAAAAATAGTTGTTCAAAACTAATTACTCCAAGATATATAAAAGAAAAAGGGAACACGGTGGGCCCCTTGGATTTTTTTATAAAAGTAGAATTTTCAACTTCCCGCTAAGAAAATTATAAATTTTTAAAAAACGGAAAACAGTCGAAAATCAATGCGTTCAACGAATAGTGTCGTTTGAAAATATCCATTCAAGTGATATCGTCAAAAAAAAACTAAAATTTTGAGCTCTGAGAAGCGAGAAGTTGTAAGGTCAACCGTTTTTTCGATTTCGAATTTATTATACTTATTTAATTTCTCTTTAACTCATGGATACATATTACGATTTACACATTGAAAAATTATTGCCATTGAAATGCTCGATCGAATAAAAAATTGACAGTAAATGAAAACTTGCAAACAGGGCTTCATATCAATAACAATATTATTAACTTTCTGTAAGTATTCTTAGTGGAGATGTAAAACAATTTTTGGCAGGAAAAACGTAAGGTTTTCACGGACAGGAATATGTTGAAATAATTCTTCGGATTTGTTCCGTGTGGTGTATTGTCATCCTCGGTGGGAATGAATTTCGCAACGTTTCGACAAAGTCTCATTTGTCATACTCTGGCGATTTTTGTTAAGTGTTCGAAAGTCGTCTGACCCTACTCAAATGACTTCTTACTATGTGGGTATAATGATGCTGTTACATATATACCTTTGGTGATTACCTGAATTTGGTACCTGTATGTTTTGGTACCTGAGTTCTTCTTCTTCTCGATATGACCTCATCTCCCCGTTAAGGTTTAAAATGTTAGATCGAAGGTTTTCACGGACAGGAATATGTTGAAATAATTCTTCGGGTTTGTTCCGTGTGGTGTATTGTCATCCTCGGTGGGAATGAATGGTTTTAAGTTTCAACAGTTCCGGATCGTTCAAAATCAATGAGTCAGTTGTAGACTGGAATGATCTATGTCACATGATGTTCAGTAGGTATCCAGTTGGACGACTGTTTTATGACTGTTCAAAACAGTCCCGATAGAGAACCAGAACAGACCTAATAATATATTGTGCTTGAATGAGAAACAGCATACCTACCAGCACTGATATTACTGTTGGTATGGCAATAATCAAAAATGGAATAATATCGTCATTCATAGTCCAACATGTAATATCATCCAAGAAAATTCTTGCTATAATCCAGAGTATTATGACCAGAAGTGGTAGGCCTAGAAAATGTATAAGTGTATTCAAGCAACTATTGAAATTGAATTAAAATTACCCCAACCCGCACAAATATAGTATATTAGATTTTTGCTGGAATCTGCAAAAAGTGCCCTAAAGATCAAATTGTTAAGATATAGTCCTTCCATCAAAATCCATGAATAGTTCGCCGTGGTGAAATATTGCACCAAACTCGTTAAAAGTTTGCATTCGTAGTTATTTTTCTGGAATGTAAAGTATCAGTTTGCATTATCAGTGTTTTTGAACGAAGGTTATTGATATACCTCTATGTCTGTCTTGAAGTACAGGTATCCATTTCTTTCGCTCAAGTCATTTGTGAGCCCCACCCCGTCAATAAACAGTATGTCTTTCAGAATGTAGAAGAATGCTCTCATTATAAAAGACGCAAATAAATTCATATGGAGAATGTTTCTAGCACAATGCAATTTTCTGAAAAACAAAAGTGGTACAAGGAAATTTCATATATTAGGAAATTATATATAGTACCTGATAAGCAACATTATTAAGAAAGCTATCAGGAGAGATATCAATGAAACTGCATATCCTGTTTCGGATATAATTTTAACTGCTGGCACAATGGCTTCATAACTTTTTGAAATTCCTGCTTTTCCGGAATTATTGGTGAAAATTGTAGTTATTGCACCTTCATAACACGATGTATAATTAGCCCAAGGTTCGTGTGTAGTAAGATTCGTGAACCATATACCATCTTCAGTACATTTCCTGGTGACGTTATACTCCTAAAAAATATATATTTGTGAGTCAGGGAAATGTTATTCGAATCCAAATTCAGACAGAAATTTTATATGAACTGTGAGCCAACGGAAGGATAGAATGATACTTGTATGTGTGAAACACAAAAAATTGGCGAAATCATAATTTTTTAGAAACTGCACCGGAAATAATTTGATCTACACAAACTTTATTTCCAACTATCACGACATGCTTCGCTATCACAGTAGCTTTTCGTAGTAAATAACATATGTTATTCACTATGTAATGTAATAACGTAATTTACACTCATGTAATAATTGATGAGAAATGAAATTTATTAATAATTATGTATTCATCAATCACTAATAAACTGTATATGGCCGGAACTACCGGTTTACCTTAAATGATGCTCTAACCGCGCGCTCTCCGCCCTCTATCTCGCAAACGATTCAACGTATAAACATTTTTTGAAAGAAAAGTTGTAGGGAATTCAGTCCTCTACAATATTGATAATGAATACAAATAGCGAAAACCCTATAGGAAACAAGATACTTGAAAAAAATGTGCAAAAAATCGATGGTGCTGGTTGGATGCAAGAGCAATATCTGCCTCGATTTATCATGTGCGAATGTTGAATTCTGCCATTTGTTAAGTTAGGTTAGTGTTTTTTATATTGAGTAACTTTTCAATAAAATCATTTATTATTATTATAATTGTGACATTTGATCTTATATTTCAATAGCCGTGTACACCCTACCATACCTATGTAGTTTTTGAGACAATTTTTAAGATGTCAAAATACAAGTTTACACGAGAATTTCAAATTCCGAGGTGAACTTACTAAGATGACTGGACTAATTATTCGAAAATACTTAAAAATACTGCCGTAAACACCGTGCCTGCAGAATGATAATCTGCATGCTGGGAGGAAGACCAGAATACACAACCATCACGGGTCGTCCTCAGGGGGAGGAGTTCATCTCCACTATCATGGAACCTTGTAATGGACCATAATCGACACAAAGTACCTACTTTGCTAATATATTCAAGAAACACATGCAGCAGGCCCTGAGTATTATAATTGAATGGACCAACGAACGTGAGCCCAACAAAATGGACTATGGTAGAAGTATCATAACTAAATGGACCAATGAAGAAGGGCTGAACATAAGCCCAACGAAATCGACCATAGTAGGAACAAAACAGATGGCCTAGGACCTATAAAACATCAAGGTGAAGAGATGAATCTGTTGGGGAAGGTCAAATATCTGGGTGTGCTACTAGATCCCTGGAACCAACATCTAAAAAAAGTTAAAAGAAAGGCGAAGGTAGCTCTGATGGCTTTCAGCAATATGACCAAGTCATAGCATTACTACAGAAGAGTAGATATAAAGTTCTACAGAGGTTACAACACAAGCCGTTCATCCCGTATTTTATCAGAACCGTCTCACTCACAATATAGAATAAATGAAGCAATCGATACAATAACGTTGTATTTTAACCACTTTTCGACCTGAAGAATGCAATTGTGTCGTGAAAACCAATACCTTTTATAATGAATAAGAACCCTAAACCAACCAACCAACTCCTCTATACTGAACCAGAGGACTTATGAAAATATTACAATTCAATTACGGTCGTTTTTGTTATACACTTTCCTCTCCTCCAGCCAGAAAAATTCACAAATTCAATTCTTAGTACTAACTTCACCATTATATATATCCCCAGCGTATCTGACTTTAAATACTGGACTACAGAATAATCGCAGATACCGGATTAATTTGTTAGATTTCAATAATTCAAGGTGACCTTCCCAAATTTTGTTTCTTTCTAAAGCTGAAGCTAAATGGCCACAAGTAATGGTTTCGGTGAATAGCACTTTGATAGAAGAAAAATCACATCAGCCCACTGTGCTAGTATATTCCCCAAAAAATATTCCTCATAAAAGTGCCTTCAGAATGCGCGGATTCGAAATAAAGCCAACTACATGATTTCCAAGAACTTCACATATGAACAAGCCTAGCTTTAGTAAAAACAAAATACTTCTAGTACCAAAGCCAATTGAGAACAATCGGCTCTGATTTATCTTAAAAATTAATGGAATGAAACGTTATTCCAAAATTCAAACATGGAAATTATTGAGCAAAATGAACAATAAATTCACAAACTCAAAATAAATTCTTAATACATAAAAACTGAATAAAACATTGTCTTCAGTCTACAGTGAAAATCACAGTTTGATCTAATAAGTTAAATTCATATACCTACTTAACAACTATTGTATTATCAATGTCTATTAAGTGATTCTACTGCGCATTGCGAATGATTTCTAATTCGAATGATAATTCGATTATTCAAACAAATCGATAATGCCATCACAACATTGAAAAATCATTGCTGCAGACTTAAAAAAGGAAAACTCCGCTTTCATGACTCTCCAGCCCTCAGAGTATTGTCTTTTTGTTACTCTGAGCTTCAGCCCATATGAGTTCCCTATCTGTATATCACAGAACAAAATTCGGTTTTCGTTCTGTAACCTGCGTTCTGTACATTGATAAACATCGCCACACTGTCGCACGTCAGTCACTTGTCATATGTCAGTCTCACACGTGGGAAATGTGATTTTGGTTGTTTACTACGAAACCGATCATTTTTTCTTGCATATAATTTGTTTTTGGACTTTCAAAGTGTTAAAGAAACATGCCTAAATCGAAAAGAGATAAGAAAAGTGGGTCTTAGGAAATTATTTATGTTTATATTTTTCTTCAATTTTAATTTGTCCTACATAACCTATTTTAATTTCAGTTTCCTTAACAAAAACCGATAAAAAGGGTTTAGCATTGAAGCAGAAAATAGTGGAAGATGTAAGGAATTGTGTGGAAAAATATAAGAGCATTTATCTGTTCACGTATCGAAATATGAGGAACGAAAAGATGAAAGAAGTTAGAGAAGAATGGAAGCCCAGCAGGTTCTTTTTTGGAAAAAATAAAGTTATAGCTATAAGCTTTGGGAAAACTGTTGAAGAAGAAGTCGAAGAAAATCTCCATAAGGTAACGTAAAGTACTAATGTCTGACATCTATCGGATAGTTAACACAAGTATTCAACCAAATGTAGGTAGTAAGTTTCTAGTTTTGAACATTGGTTACCATGTGTTCAGAAGATAAAACTTGTGATTCACAACTTGAGACTGGTGAATGAACCCTCTTTGAACATGACCCTAATTATATAATCGTCTGACTAGTCAGTAGATGTATATTAGGTAAAGTTTGTAGATTTCTTTTTATTTCTTGATATGTTATATTTTCCTGAAGAAAAATTGTTTTACTGAAGGAATCAAATTGTCTCCTACATATATTTGATAAAGAGTCATCACATACAGCTAGTACATCATGGGGTCCATTGTTTTTATAGATATTCACCAATGGTATGAGTTTTTCAGATTTGCCGATGTTAAATATCAAGTGTCACTACCAGTAGCCTGAATTAAAACTAACATTATTATTGAACTGAGAAAGATTATGTTTGATTCCTGAAAATATGTTGATGCAATTTTGTAGATTTCAAAATATGTTCTCGGTTGACATCTATCGACACAATGTGACATCACGAGTGTTATATTATCGTCTCCGGCACTCCTATGGTATTGATGAGTCCCCAGTGTTGCCTTACCCCCTGTGAGATATTTATTTCATTGTGGAAATGAGAGGTGCTGGGTTTATCAGAATTTTCAAATAGAATAGCAAATACAAGCTATTAAGCCTGCTGTAGTATTTGTCCTCCAGCAATTTAAGATAATATCTTTTGATATATTTTCTATTCTGTATGAAGTTGATATTTAAAAAGAGATAGAATTTTCTCTTCAAAATCGGTGAATTCTGCTTAGACGACTCTGCCCAGATGAACTCTGCTCAGATGAACTCTGCTCAGATGGACTTCAACATCATACCGTCTCGTCTCAAAATAGCAGAAATTATAGCCAGATAGATGCAGAAGGCTGTCATTTTCAGTTTGCTACATTTCCTCAGGGCAAACGGTTTTCAGACCCAAAGATCATATACGCCATACTTTTTATTTATGAAAGTTGAAGGTAGAAGTTACATGCTGAAATTTTCTCTGACTTTTAACTCGGAGGAACAATTTCAAATTTCGTTAATCTTTGGGACTAGTGGCAATTCAGATAATGTTCTATAGATTATGTTGATGAATCCTACAAACTGTTACGAATCATATACTTTTGAACATATTTTACGTTTTCAAAGGTCAATAATTAATACATTTCTTTGCACTTTCAGATGTCAGCTATTTTGAAAGGTCAGTGTGGACTCCTTTTTACAGATTGTAAGAAGAAGAAAGTGGTAGATTGGTTCAATAACTACTCAGTTGAAGATTACGCAAGATCTGGATTTAAAGCAACCGAAACAGTAAATTTAAAAGAAGGTCCACTGACACAGTTTTCACATGCAATTGAACCATATCTGAGGCAATTGGGAATGCCAACAAAATTAGACAGAGGTAATAATTACAATTATTCATTTGATATGTTCATCCTGTTCTTAGATGTTATTTTGAAGTTCCAAAAGAAGGGTGTCAGACTTTTCTTAAATATACCCAAATATAGATTCAGTATGCAATATATTTCATATTGGGTATGATGAGAAATGAATATAAAAATATGGATTTTAGTAAATGAAATGGCAATAATCGAGAGCCTATTGAGTATTGAATATTATAAATATTACTGGAGTTTTTTCCCAACACCAAATCGTTATTTTTAACACCTCGACACGTGTTTCGATCACCAAGTGATCGATCATCTTCAAAGAGGAAGATTAAAACTAGAATCTGATGAAAATCACGGAAAGCAACATTCAAGGAAAATAAAAACTTTGGGATACTATTTCATTTTAGCTAAAAGTGAAAATCTTCATTTCTGTATTTATGTATGTATGTATTTATGAATGTATCCTAGGTACAAGCTCTATGTTGCTATCACTCTATCTGACCTGATTTTAATTGATATTTCCATTATGTCTAGTGATATTTCAAAATATGAGACAAGTTTTATAATCAATTTGGAGAATTCAAAAGCCTAATAATGAAAAAGGAACACAAGAGGGTTTATTAGGGATCAAGAAAATAAGTGAAGTGTTCTATTGTCTCGAACTATCAAGAAGTAGACCATAGGTTGTACATATAGGGAAATTGTCTTCATATAATTATAATGGTCTTCCTAGTTACCACAGAATTAATCAGATGAGTTACCCAGGAAAGGAGTAATTTGAAGACTATTTGTACGCCGTCTATTACTGTATGTCGTATATTGGTTTGTTTATTAACCTTTGCATATAAAAACAGTTTCCTTTTTTGTACCTTTCTGTCGATCTGCAATAAGCAGAACACATTGTCGGTTGATAGATAGAGTGCGATATTAAACAGTTTAAATTAATGTAGCAGTGTTATAATTTCCACACCTTGGTCTTCACCTAAAAACTTCCCGGATATAACACTGTATACACAAGCCATTTTTTTAGCTGATCACACTATTGTTAAATCGAAAAGGGTAAGGCCTGTATAATTTCCAGTAAGTTTGCTAATAGTGAGTAGTACACTTGAAGACACTAGAGAGTCATCAGGAAAAAATAATTTGTTGAATGAGTTATATTTTTTTTAGTACAGTGGTTGATTTTGCAATTTACCACTTATATTATTAAAGATATATACATACAAGTACATTGCCATTAATAGAATATTTTTGTCCAGTACAGTGTAGGTATAATTATTATATATTCCTATATGTGGGCTCATATGCATGCAGCATATTAGCCAAAATGTAACACACTGTATAGGAGTAAAAAATATGCAGATTATACATGTGAAAAGTTTTACTAATGTTGAATAAGCTTTCTTGACAAGAAAAGCCTTCAAGTTTTTCCTGTTATTATTAGGACACAATTTGTTAACGTTTTAGGTACCTATCTTGTTATATATTTCTTTCCACCGACTTCAAATTATAATACAGAAAAGTTCTTAATAATTCCATCCTTCCTATCAAGTGAATCAACATATATATTTAGTGCAAAATGTAGAACTACCAAAAAGTAGAAAGTATTCAAAATGTATTTGTGATGAATATACATGTACTTGGGTTATGTTTTAGTTTTATTTTTTGAAAAAATCACTTATTAGGTAAAGATCTTATTTATTGGAAATATGTTCAGATGACTGCAACATTGTTTTTATGTGTTTAAAAACTGTCACAGGTTAAAACAATAAACACCAATTCCAAAGATCCAATAAATTGAACAGCATGAAATAATTATATATCATGATCGTTATCAAGGTTTTGATATCTTGTTAGGTGACTTCTAATTTTATGAAAATTTAGAAATAGCAGAAATATCAAATGGTTTGTTTTACCACCAGTTAACATACTTGCGGCAAAAATATGTACTGAATCATGAATATCTGTTGAAAGTGTGATGAAATTTGATTTTTCGTTAACCAGCTGTCGACCCTCTAAGAACGAGAACTCTCAAAAATCGAAACTTGTGCTAGATAAGGAAATAACGAGGTCTTATCTTTTAACGTCTTATCTAAACAATAAGATGATGTTGGACCTGTATTGTGGTGCATGTAGCACCTCGAAGAGTGTTCTGAAGAACAGATTAGATTAAACTTATCCACAGCGAAAATTCATAAGCCATGGAATTTTAGGTTTGCTAAATTATGGTAGACTGCCAATTGCAAACCAAGATTATTGCTACTTAAAAAATTTGGACTTTGAAGTTCGGAAGCTTGGGTTCAAGTAAAGTGTAAGTGTTCAAAAGGGGCAATAAAACACTGATTGTAAATTGCACCCCTACATTACACACTATACTATAATCAGACCGAATCCCGTCATGGAATGAAAATCTCTGGTAGTAAAGTAAAACATAAAATACACATTCCTCAATAACTATAAAAAAAATCATAAATTCAACATAGGCGTAGACAGACAATTTTCAATAGGTAATGAATGGTTTTAATACATTACATGAAGTTTATGCAGTTAGAAAATATTTTGTTTCGTCATCATTTGCATGTGTGCATGGCTTTTCATTCCGGTTCACGTTTTGATTCGGGTCATTATTATACTTCGGCTTTGGATGGTTTTTACTGGTTTACGGGCCTTGGTGAACAAAGATTCCATACGACAGATGCAGAAGCAGTTCAACCATCAGTCAAATGACTCCTTATATTCTCTTTAATGAGTCCCGATCAAAATGAACTCCTCGAAGGTGAAGTAATGTTTATTCTAAGTTCGTTCTCTGGTCATTTCTTGCTGCTGAAAAGCGAATGTGCCCAAGAACGTACCCAGGATTAAAACTAGGGGGGCAAGCCATGGTCGTTCGGGTTGCAACATTTTAGAACGGAAAAGGTGAATGAAACCAAAATTTTTTGAGAAAATTATTTGAACTACAAGTTTCACAACATATGATACAAGAAATAATTGATAAAAATATTTGTTTGTTTTCTTCAATCATCTTCTGGTGATCACTTTTTGCAACTGTACATCAAGCGAAACATTTTCAAGGAACGCTTTTGCAGCAGCTTTTGAAGTTTTGTGTTAGTGACTGCTGACGTTTTTCGTACAATCTTCATGTATATCTTTGAGGTTTATATATGACCTAACCATGAATGACCCCAAAACTCTTTCAACTGTAACACAACTAGGAGAAACAAGAACACAGTGCATGGAGCACCTTTCAAACGATTTGAGTACACGAACCAAGGGGTATATTGAATATTGATCTAAATAGCGGCGGTTACATTTTCTTTTCAAATGGCTGGCATCAGAACGAAAATCGTAATTGATGGTGGGGCTCAAGAATTTGTAAGCAGTTCCTCTTTTTTTTTTCCCATCCCATCCCAGTTTCTACTTAGTTTCTGGATATTAATATAGTTATACAAATAAAACAAACATTTCAGTATAAAATCAAGTAAAGTTTAAATTTAATTTTTCTCTAGAGAAATTGATGAATTACTTTACTTATCTTTTTGGAACTAGTTTTTATATCCATTTAGGCAGCTTCTGGGTTATTCAAGGTTAGAACTTCAAACGTAAATAATAAGGTAAGCTAATATAATCTTCAAATGGAATGAATTCGAACAAATGCTTATCAAAAGAAACATTTATTAAATGAATACATGGTAAAAAGATAATCTATGATGAATCCCACTAACTGGTTGACATAGATTCCTCTGCCAGTCGCTAGGTGTGGCTCTAGATCAGTGGTGCAAGATGTACAATCACGATAATTTTCATTTTCAGTATTTTTTTTTGTTTTCGTATAGAACATAGGTAATTGTGAACGATTGTACGAAAATTTCGATAGGCAATAAAATAACGATGAACTACCCTAATTTCACAAATTTCAATAGAGTAGGTATGTATTATTTCGACTATTCAAACAGTAATTTCGAAAAGTGTAATGAATTCCAGCAACAAAATGTGCTTCCAGTGAGAGGCACTTGCCTCCCTGCCCCTCGTTTGGTACGCCCCTGAACGTGTCATCTGAAGAATAACGTCCTGGATTATTTACGTTGCTCTTCAATATTTCAATATTGATCTACAATTTTTATGTTTTGTTGATGTGATACTTCTCTAAAAATAGAGGTTTTGTGCAAACAATACAAACAAGTGCAAACACATAAATTGTATGAATGAACAATAGTGAAATCACAATGACACATTTATCCATTACCAATAATTGAAGTTACAATATATTCATTTTATGTTATTACTGAAGTTTTGAACTTTTTCGCGTACTCGGGATTCGATGAAGTCGACGAAGGTCGTTTCATCTGATCCTGATTGGCGAAGGTTATCCCTGTGATACCATATTTTTAATTGTGGATTATACCGGATTTTCTAACAACAGCTACTTTTACCAGCCACTTATTCCATAGAGAATTTCACCCAATAAAAAAGTTAGTGCGTTATTGGATACGTAACTTTTTGACATCAGATGTTGTGAACTTTTCGTTCGATATAACTCGATAATAACTGTCTTCAATATCGAGTAAACGATCTGAAAAATTGATTGGGATTTTGATTTCATCTGAATTCTTGTTGTTTGCTCGATTCTCTGTAATGTAGTTTCAGTATAATGCGTATTATTTTCTGGGTTCTGAAGATATTGTCAGCATTAACAGCTGATCCTCAGAAAATGATACCAAACTGAATTATCAACTAAACGTGGGCTTAGTAGACTCGTAATATACTTTTAGACTATCTAAGGATACTTGATCCCGCAGAGCTTGAAAACCTTAACATATAGAACAGAGTTTGGAATTGAAGCTCTGTTACGCCAGCAACGCAAAGTACGGAAATCGCATTTGGAAAATGCTAAAACTAGATACTTTTTAGATGCTTTTTAGGTAGCATTATGTGATGCTAGAAACGCAATGAAAATAATGATGAAATAATGAATGTTAAGGCAACACTATTAGGTGCTAAACGGTGAGGATCGTGAAATTCTCTAATTAATAAACAAAAGCTTCCAATTTCGCTTAACAACATATCTAAGAATCAGGTCTCTCGAAAACGAGGACGAATGATCCATCAGGTATAAACCAAGCGTGGTAATAAAGTGCTAATTTGGTGCTTGCAAGAAATTAAGATGAAAACGACTGCGAATAAGCGAAAAAAAAATCGAGATACCTGATTTGAGAAAAAAAATCAACAATGTGCAATGAAGTCTTGAGATACTCAAATAAAAATATCAATCAAAATAAAGTGCTAATCAAGTGCTCCCTAGATATTCATAGTAAAACTAGATTATTTAATGCATATGGGGCTCATGGACCTGAAAACCATTATACCTGATGTACTGGGTTTTTATAGTATCTACGTTATTTAATGAATAAGGGCAAGAAATTAAAGTGCTAATTAGGTGCTCACTAGATAAATAATAGCAAACCTAGATTCCATAATGCCTATGGGGCATTATGGAAAACCACTATAACTGATGGACTGAGTTCTTACAGTACGTTTCTCGATAAGTAAGGGTATGAGAATAAAGTGCTAATTAGGTGCTCATTAGATATTAGGAATCACACGTTAAAAGGTGAGACCTCGTTAGTTCTTAACTCGCACAAGGTCGATTTCTGAGGGTTATCGTTCATAGGTGTGAATTATCTGGTTAAAGGAAAACACATATTTCAAACATTTTTTTTAATGGTGGTTATCGGGTCCATGGTGGTTATCGGGTCCATAAGCCCCATATGAATTATGGAATCTAGGTTTACTATTATTCATCTAGTAAGCACCTAATTAGCACTCTAATTTCTTGCCCTCATTCATCAAATAACGTACTATAAAAACTCAGAACATCAGTCATGAAATAATGTCATGGTGGTTTCCAGGTCCGCATGAGCCCCATAGGCATTAAATCTAGTTTTACTATGAATATCTAGTTATCACTTAATTAGCACTTTATTTTGATTGTCTATGTATTAGTTTACGAGTATCTCAAGACTTTATTGCATATTGTTGATTTTTTTCTCAAATCAGGTATCTCGAAATTTTTTTTTCGCTTATTCGCGGTCGTTTTCATCTTAATTTCTTGCAAGCACCTAATTAGCACTTTATTACCATGCTTAGTTTATACCTGATAGAGCATTCGTTTTCGAGAGACCTGATTCTTAGATCTGTTGTTTAGCGAAATTGGAAGCTTTTGTTTATCAATTAGAGAATTTTACGATCCTCACCGTTTAGCACTTAATCAGCACCTAATAGTGTTCCCTTAGCATTCATTATTTTATTATTATTTTTATTGCGTTGCTAGCATCACATAATGCTAGCAACGAAACTTTGAGTATTGAGTTGCGGTGTAAGTTACAGAGCACCTAATTATTGACTTCGGTACCTAAAAAGTACCTAATTTTGGCATTTTCTAAATGCGATTTCCGTACTTTGCGTTGCTGGCGTAACAGAGTTTGGAATTGAGTCCTGAGTTCCTGTATTGCAAACGTACACACCTTCTAAATGAAGATAGGGAAAGATATTTTCAGCTTATGCATGTTCGTCATCTTCATTTCATTCAGGCTGGAGCCTAGCTCCATTTTAGACTGCCTTTTGTCAGAATGTCCTCAGCCATCAGTACCGCCCTTCGCGGTGTACCTCTACCTGGCTGGGGTGAGATGAGGGCCTCATTCGACAGTCTGTTGGAGCCTTCTATATCGGAAGGGGTCGTCTACAGCGCAATCTATAGCTTCCCTGAGTAACGGATTATCGTGAGTTTTCGCACAATAGAAAACTCGTCGATTCCTCCACTGAATGGAATTCCTCGACTGAATGGAAGATTTTCAGCTCGGTTTAGTTTTATGTCCATGTATATAAAATTAAATTACTAGATGATTGAGAAATGAAAATATTCATCAGTTCTACCTATAATTGATTCTATAAAATATTAATTTCTTACCGGTTTGAATCCAGCTATGTAAGATGGGCATGGGTTTACAGCTAAAACTCCTGCTGGAGTATGAGGCCAACAAAGAATAGAGTCCCAGAAAGGAGGACACATCAAACCTAAAATGAATGAGAGTGATCAGTATATCTATAAAATGGGAATAAAGGCAATTTCGTAATAATTCAGTGTGTTCCAGCTAAAACTTGTCACCCCCCTAATCTGCGAACTCGTAAAAAAATTGAAAATCGCTCAGACCCGTCTATTTTTACACATTCACCAGATACATCATCATTGTGTTGTCAACCCCTTCATTCCCAGTATTTCAGAATTTTCAATGGGACTACTATAATTGTGATACATCATTCTGAAGGGAATTCAATCCGAAATACATCAGTATACTGAAATTGAGGATCGATCAAGTATTGAAATTTTAATGAAAAGTACATTTTATAAAGATATTTTTAATTTTCATCATGTAAAATGTCTTCGCACATTCCTCAACATTCTGGATTCACAATTCTTCTGCAGAGGTCATCAAGAGAGTTTGGTTGTGTAATATTTAATAGTTATTTTTATATTGTAACTTCAACATGTACATACATTCTACATATAAATTAATTTTAGATTTTCTTTTTATATTTTGACCTCTAATATTACTCTGAATGTTTATATTGTTGCATTACTTTAAATTAGCCTCATATATGTATGTATATCCACACACAAGCAGTACTGCTTCCGAGGTATTACTTTATTCACAATCTGTATCCTATATTGCTTTGAATAGGTACATTATTGTTATTAATATGAACTTTGGATTTCATAAAAGAAGTCTAATGGTGATAATCAGGTTCTCGCTTTCCAATCCATCTCCCTGTGAAATTGTCATCTAAAAATTGGCGTACAGGTTCAACAAAATCTGGAGAATTTCCATCTTGTTGAAATGTGAGCGACCATCAAGTAGACTATCATCGTTTTTAAGTAACTGAGTGATTCTGGGGTTCAGAGTTGTATCCAGAAGTTCAAGACAAACCAAGTTCCTTATAAGTTATTCTCACTGTAAAACACCCTGAAGCTTGCTTTTCATTGAGGGTTACAATGTTATCGACGAATTTGAGTTTAACGTCAATCATTCCCCTCAAAAATGTACAACTAGGTCTGCTTTCAATCATCTTGTCCTTTGCTATTAATAGTATGGTGTCAGTAAAGCGGCGGAATGATAATACGTTTGTTTTAGAAATATTAAATGACAGCAGATTGGTGTCGCACCAGTATTGCTTTATATCTTAGCTTATAATCTCGTGGAGATACATAATACTGTGGTATCATCGGCGAACAGAGTAAATTTTCATTCTATATCGATAGATGTTAAATCGTTTATGTATAACAAGAAAAGTATCGGTCCCAGTATTGAACTTTGTGGAATGCCAATTTTAAATTCGTTTTCTGACGAGGACGATGAGGTTTTCACAATCTGACTTCATCTCGGATCGTATATGAGTAATTCCACGGATGCCATATTAGCTTGCCTAGAGTCGGAATGAGACGTATAGGGCGAAATTTTGATGGATCACTGAGATCACCACCTTTGTGCAAAGGAACTGTAGATTTTTTTAGACAGAAAGGATATGTAGCGATCTTAAACAATGAATTTACTACGAACGCTAGTGCATTCAATGTGGTATCAGGAAGGCTATCAGAAATATCAATTGAAATTGTGGATTATGAGGAATTGGTATGTTTTTTGTTAATTTTTCAGCTACAGAGCAAAAGTAATTGTTCAGTTTGTTTGTGTTTATTAGTATATCAACTTGTTCTTTTCTTTGTTTTCTCCTAAAACCATTAATCATGGACCACATCTCTTTTGATTTATTGCTTGCTTGTAAAATTCTGACTTGGTAATAGAATTCTTTTGCACATTCGGATACTTTTTTATAAGTATTTCTGATTTTTCAACACAGTGATGAATAGGTGTATTATTCGTGAATTTTTCATATGATAAGGTAAACTCATATTTCTAGAGGAAACCTGCATGGCCTTCGTGAACCAGTATTTTTTTCAGTTCAATCCTTTGATGCGGAGAATATTCATTGAGAATATTTCTTATGTAGGAATATAAAATAGAAAGAGGGTCAATTCATACCTCCTCTCCACATTTTTCTGGATAGGGAGGCTAAATGGACTGTATATAGACTTATGCACATTGCCAATTGAACAAATCAATGTAATGCAGCCTGCGGGTTGACACTGGAAGTCACAGCATTCTGGAAATGACCTCTAACTTCATGCCTCCAACTGTCAACTACGAACTGTTTTATGAAGTACTGTTCCCGAGTAGAAAGGATTGGATCCTCCGGAAGAAGGGAATATCAAGAGAAGATAGTTTTTGGTTCATAGATGGAATAAAAACACCTTCAAGTTCTTATGCAGGTGTTTTCAGGCGCAATCTCAAGACAGAGATATCAACCTGCCTAGGAACCTATACGACTGTATTTCAAGCAAAAACTCACGCTATTGAATTTTATGCGGAGAGATTGGAAGAATCCAACCTCAGACGCAAGTCAAGCGGCTTTGGAAGCTCTTGGCTTCTACTGAGCAATGTCTAAATTGGTAGCAAAAAACGACTGTCCCCGATAGGAAGACTTAATAGATTGCTGGATTCCCGGCCATACTGGCCTAAAAGGCAATAGGGCTGCTGACTCCCCTGCAAAAGAGGGTGCTGCAAGCAGCTTCATTGGACCAGAACCTGTTATTGGCATCACTTTAGGTTTTGCCAAATAAACAGTGAACACATGGATGGCAAGAAGAATCTTCCAGGATTTACCCTTCGAAACTTGATACCAAACAGTTGTTGAATAGTAGGGATGAACTACCATATCTAACAGGCCTTCTCACAGGTCACTGTCATTTGAATCATAAGCAGAGACTTGGACTGTCGGAAGGCAGCGTGTGTCGCCTCTGTTTGGGAAATGATGAAAAAGCAGGACACACATCTTGTGCCTGCCACACTTGGGAATGAAACCGGTTTTCAGATTTTGGCAGAGCCGTACTTTCACCATCTGACCTGAAAGACCACTCACCATTCAAATTAATCGGCTTCATTAGGAAACTGGGTTTATTCGGTCGAGTGTGAATAGGTGTGAGCCACAATAAACCCTTGCGGGATGCGGTGGAGGATCGAAAAGACCCACTCACTTTCGATCTAACCTAACCTACATGCACGCTTGCTTTTTACAGATCCCATCAAAAATAAAAGATCTAAATATATTAAGATATAACTCTCTTTTGAAAGCAACTGCAAAAAATACTTTAGTTGAACTGCAGTCTTTGCCACCTGCCGCAGATGCCACTTTTGAACAATCCAAAAGTATATATCTGCAAATTCAAACATGGATCGGAAGAAAAATATTACCAAAAGAATGGGGTTGGAAATATGAATGCGGAATACTGATACTGCAAACAATGACGAAGCGACCAGCTTCAGAATCCTTATTGAACATTTTTTGTACATACAGCATGCAGGAAAAGTTTATTAAATTACACTATAGCTTGCTTGGACTGCAATGGTTACAGTTGTACTAATTCTTCACTTACTGACCATATCAATGAAATCGATGATGACGAGAGTAATGATCAATAATGTTGGTATATATCGTTTTTGTGAAATATGAATTAATTAATTAGTTACTATGCAAATATTGTTTATCAGGTATAAAAATGAAATCTTTGCTCTAAACATTTTTTTTCTCATTTTTCAGTAAATTGTTCTTGAAAACTATTGTAACTGAGATGGGGCCTTTTTTTGATTGAGCTTTTAACAATAGAGTGACAGTTTTTATGAAGATTCATTGACTGGGCTTGAATTCCTAGATTTTACAATTTTTACGCCTACTCCACCAGACTACCTAACCCATTCCATAAGATATGCAAAATTGAACGATACCCAATGAAATGATGCTTTTAGGAAGATTATATCACACTTCAGCTACGTCTACCGAAAAGCCCATTGTGTAACACATCTTCACGTATTCGAACTTTTGTGTGTTTCCGGCGCTTTCCAATCCTTGCCGCATCGAAAGCTTTTCACCAAGGCAAAACCACTTTTATTTCGTTTTGTCTCGATGTTCCTCGCAGAATCACGTTACCAGACTATTAAATACTTGTGTGGGTGGTCATTGAGGCATCAAACTGGAAAGCTAAATGTGCATACGAAATGTCCTTTGCGATAGGATTTATTAATTTATGAGAAAATGAAAGGGAGAGGTGAACATACAGTTTCATGCCGGTTTTATGGAGATAGAGAAACACTGGTTCACCCCACTCCACTTCATACAATAGAATATAATTTTGGGCACGAATAATAGAAATAATAATAACAGACCGTATATACTTTATTATAACTATCCTTAGGTTTTTCCCGTAGGACTGTACAATTGACCTTAATTTTATTTCGCTGCTACACTGACAATACAACACAAACACTTCAACTGAAACTTCAAATGTCTGTCGCCTTATTAGATCACTTCGTACCGCACTTTCAACTAGACTTCTCGATCTGCGTGTTGGTCTGTTTATATATGGTAATCGAAGTTTCTGAAAGCCGATAGGAAAGTCGCTGGAAGTATCTCGAAGCGACGTAAAATCTAGAACAATAGCGAAGTGCAAGTCGAGTTGAGCGCGATTTCGACCGAGTCACAGTCGGTTAAAGACGACCAGCGGCGTCCGGCGTTATTTTTTCATGGAATGATTCACAACACTATCAAATACAAATCAATTTACTGAATTAAAAAAATACTTCGAAGGAGCGACTTCGTTCCCCCTGTTCATAAAAGAGGACATATGCCTCTCCACTCACCAGCGATTTTGGTTGAATTGGAGACACGTGTGAATGTATTCGTGCCACGTGCCAGATTACTGATGAGTGTCCACAGTTTGTGCACTTTTTGTCAATCTCCGTTTGTGTTTCTCAGTAATTCTAATTACGTCTTCATGTGAACCTTCTGAAAGATATCGAAGGAACTCCTGGGGGACTTAATGCGCATGACTCATGAACAAATGCAAATCTTTGAATCTGACTCTTCAAGTAGACTGTGTTTAAATATTACTGGAGTTTTTCCCAACACCAAACCGTTATTTTAACACCTCGACAAGTGTTTTGGTCACCAAGTGATCATCTTCAAGAGAAAGATCAAACTAATCAGACTTACAAGTTATTCTCATTTATACCATAGATACCTCTTCTAGTCTTAAGTGTCTTGAATTCATTTCACAATATTGCCTTATCTACCCCCCTAAAATAAATTTGCAATGTGTAAAATATTATAAAATTAATTTCACAATATTGCCGTATCTACTAGGTAGTCTTGCAATCATTTTACAATCTGTTCTTTTGTAATAGTCAGGTAAATCTAATCATTAAAATATTATTTTAACAAGCTATATAGTATACTATTAGGTATTGGTCCACCATCTTTATTCAGAATATTATTATATTTACTTATTTCTACACTCTCATAGGCATCTAGATGCCTATTGTTGTTAACTTGTCTAACTAATTTTAATGAACTGAAGTCTATAGAATGGTTTTGTTGCAAAATATAATGGGCGGCTGCCCATTATATCTTATTTCGATAGATCTTTTTGTCTGTCCATAATATTTTGCATCGCAGTCCTTATATTCAATTTCGTAAATTCCAGACTTTTTCGAATTCTCGTCTTTTGGATTTCCTAAAAGGCTCTGTAGTATAAGTATGACTTGTTTTAGAAACCACCTTCATACCTAGTTCCTTGAAAATTTGTCCAAAGTTTTTCGTATATTGGTGGTATGGAACTGAGATATATTCATCTCGGTTTTTGTCGTTTTTAAAAGTCGATATTTAGTTCATTCTTTTGTCGTTGTTCTTGTCTATATTTAGTTATTTATTCTAAGTATTTGTTAAGCAGTTCCACTATTCTTCTGCTTTACATAACTGCTTGACGTTTATTTATTATTTTAAATCTAAATCCTAGTTTTTTATCCTATAAAGAGTTTTATCACAGCAGCTCACGTTATGGCAGGAAGTATTCCATGTCTTCCTTATGATTTGAGTTGTAGGAAGCTCATTGCTTTTGTAACAGTCGTATATTGTTTTTTTCAATGATTTTATTAGATGAACGTCTGAAGGTTTTGTTAATCATGTATCACATCGCATCTTGCGTTCATAAGGTTTGTTTTTGACTATTTTACGTACAGTTGAGAAAGGAATTCCGGTCAAATCTGATGTTGCTTGTAATAGTTTGTTTCCCTCGAAACCAAACTTGAGATGTAGATTCTTATATACATTGAAACATACTCTGTGTTTCACTATTCAACACGACGGCGATAACCATCACCGCAGTCCCCGATTTTCATTCGTCACCGTAACATGACTTCAAATTTAATTTTATGATTCTTCAGCCAATCATTAAACTCGGTGTTAGTAAAAATTATCCAACACGAACCGCCAAGTGTACAGTCCACGTGGACTAGTTCGTTGACGGTTCATTTCTGTGTATTGATTTTTTTGGCCTTTGAGAGTGCCGCGAACTTCAAGAGTGCACAATATCGTTGACTTCGACTATACTTGTATGTTGTTTGCTTATCGAGTGCATTTGTTATCCATCTTTATATATATTATATTGAAATTGCAGACCAGTTGCTGTTGATTTTTGGGTTCGCGTAAACGGTTACCATTCAATCTATTGAATATTTTTTGTAATAAATGAGTGCTCAAACAGACAATGAACAGTGCGTTCATTAATAATATAATTTGCGGTTAATAAGCTAGCAGTTGATGCCGCAAAAAAATACTGACATTGCCAAATGCCTGATTAATTTTTAGGGTTGTTTCGACTGCGCTTTGGTTCAATTTGAATTCTTAGAGGAAAATTGTCTGAAAATCGCTTAACGACATCATAAAGTAATGTGCTGAAATGAGGCAAAAAATTAATATTGAAAAAAAAGAACAGTATCAATGTATAGAGTATAAAATTCTTTATCGATGAGTATATACAAAGTAGAATAAATATTTATTGAGATATGGAGCGACAAAAACACATGACATTAAAACGGACAAAACGTTTGAAAAAACCTAATAAGTATTTATAGTCAATCTCGGCTTTCACTTCTATAATTTGTCGAAGACAACGATTTAAAAAATCTAGAAGAAAATATATTCAATATTCCAAAATAGAGAATGAACAATAATATTTTATAGTCATAGATAGTTATAGTTATAGATATTTATAGTCAATCTCGGCTTTCACTTCTATACTTTGCCGAAGACAACGATTTAAAAAATCTAGAAGAAAATATATTCAATATTCCAAAATAGAGAATGAACAATAGAAAATAATCATATCTGGTGTTTATCGAGTTTCATCAAAAATTATATTTCTTCAGAAAAGCCGCTTTCTGCGATAAAACGTTCAGGAGTAATTCTGCTGAAGGGCAGTTCTTTGTAGAAGGAATTAAGTAAATGAGCTATTATTCCATCTTAATTTACGTAGGAAGTTTAATTAATCTACTTTCGTTAAAATTGAATACACTTAACTTTGAAGTAGTGCTCCGAAGATTTGGATATTGTAAGAAAGTTTGAATTATACTTCTGTTGTCGGTTGACGAATCGAATTTCGTTTTAAGAAAAGTCAAAGCCGGAATCCTTCAGTGAAATTCAATATTTTTTGAATTGGTAATTCTGAATGAAATATAAGGAACTTTTTGAGGAACGATTATAAGAAAATATGAATAACACTGGATCTAAGAAATGAACACTGTGCTAGAAATTACGTTAGACCTTGTTAGTTTTCAATATTTGAAAATAGGCGTTCTTAGGGGGGCGCCCAATTAGCAAAACGTTTCGGACAAACAAATTATAAAACTGATCTTATGATATCTATGTACTTTTCAGTTGTAAATATCACTTTAATGTGCATTCAATGTCAGTATTCTGAATTTAAAATGGCGTCATTCATAAAATAATTTGCTATCTATCAATAGCAAGCATTTTAACGTATTTTATCTACTATGTTACCTCTATAAAATTGTTGAGAAACACTTAGTGGATGTATTGCGACAGAGTTGGACTAATTTATTCGATTGATGATCTATTTATTTTGTGGAAATTCATATTGAATATAGAATAATGAAAATAACTTTTGTCTGATTTCTACTAAGTTTATTATTTGTTACGATAGGTTTGCGACTGGCCGTAACTAATAATAAACATAGTAGAAATTGGACAAAAGCTTCGAAGTTAACGCAAATTTCTTTGAACATATTTTGAAATTGTGCTAAAACATTCAGAACGCTACATGCAAGATTATGTGTAACTAGGAGTTTTAATGAAATTGCAGGTGGTGGAAGAAAAGAAACTGTAACAACGGCTGAACTAGAAGAAGCTATACTTGATGCGATAAAAGAAGATCCTTTAAATAGTACCAGGAAAATTGCACTGCAGCTGAAAATCAGCCTGAAAACCGTACGGACAGTTCTAAAAAGAAACCTCCTATACCCATATCACATACACCGGGTCCAAGCTCTACTGTTTCGAGATTCTCATCCACGATTATTGTTTTGCAGGTGGTTGATTTATACGATGGCACACAATAATGATTTTTCACCAAATATTTTATTTACGGACGAAGAAAATTATTCACGAAATGCTATTATGAACTTTCACAATGACCGACGAAAATCCCCGCGTCATTAGAGAAAGCTATCCTCAGCAACAATTTTTGCTGAACAGTTGGTTAGGAATGATTGGCGACTACCTAGCTGGCTCATTTTTTGTTCCAGCAAGATTAACAGGTGAATCCTACACGGACTTTTTGCGAGTGCCGGTATTTATGAGAGGCAACATGACGTTTATACTCGACTGGACTGCAGTTCATTTTAGTGTTCTTGTTCGTTAGCATCTCGACATCACCTACTCTAATCGTTGAATTGGACGCGCAAGGCCTCAAAATTGGTCAGCTCGCAGTCCTGATATGTATCTTTTAGATTTATATTTATGGGAATATCTGAAGGATTTTGTTTATAAAACTCCTGTATTATATGTAAATGACTAGATGACTTGAATAATTGACACTGGCGATGTCATAAGGAATACTCCAGGTATTTTTGAACGTGTCAGATAAATCAATGACGAATGTTCATAGGAACTTGTTTTCTTGAAACGACCTAACGAACCACTCTCTTGAGTTTGTTACCGTAGTTAGGAAACACCCCGTATAATAAATCTTAACAATTGTTATCGAATTAGTTTTATTTCATATTTCTTGTATTTTCGAAGTATGTACAAGTTACCATACAGATCTGGGAAGAAGCCGTGAAAAACTGGAATGTATGATTTGTTCAACAATGCTCATCTTTTTGATGTTCTCTGTGTGCCTTTTTGAGCTTTCTAAAAACCATAACTGTTTTCAATCTCAAAACTTCTATTTTGTAATCGTTGATAGTATACTTTGGGATCTACCTGTTTGTGCCAAACTGAAAATGAATTAAATAGTGTAACTTACTTTGTGTACTTTGATTGAAATAAGGTAACCGATGTTTATTCTCCACCTCTGACCCGTACATTTTAAGACAGTTCTCTTTCGCATCATATCGATGCCTTTCTTGCTTTTCGATAATTTCTTGTATGTGTTGGTTGGGCATAGTTGAAACCTGAAACAAAAGAAAACGTTACTGTTGCTATCCTATATTTCTTCTAAGATATAATGTCTTTCAACGATCCCACTTTATATCGGACATGTTAACATTTTCTATAAAATTCGAAATCAAGATTATTTGGTGATTTTTTGAAACCAAAGATGTTTCGAAGTTTGTAGAGAAAGTATACAGTGTGTTCCCAAAGTGAAGAAAAAGTTCTATAAAATTGTTGTCGGCAGTATCTCAGAAAAGTGCTTGTTGAGATCGACTTTTATTTTCATATTATCGTTTTTTGGGCATGTACCTCTTTCGATTTTTCATCTTTCCACCCACAAGCGGTGGCAGTAACAGTAATTCAAATGGCAAATTGTCTTCTGTGATAATTCGAATGATATAAAACCGCGGACACGTGTCCGCGGCTCTCCCATTCCGTTCGGTCCCCCCTTCCCGTCTCAACCCGTCTCGCACCTGTTCGGTTACGTCCCGTCCGGTCCAATCTCGGCTCATTCCATCCTATCCTATTCTATTCTATTTGGACGATTTTTATCGTTCACATAAAATGTGAAAGTGACATTTTTTCATACGCTATGGCAAATTTACTGAACTAAATGCATACCAGCATTTTGCAAACAACGTACGTAATAGTAGATTTATCAATGAATTTCATATTATGGGTTCATCTCGGTGGATTCCCCGCAGAAAATTTTTTCACCCAGTAATTTACGAACTACTCAGAAGAATAATGGATATTTTGTAGCAAAGAGATTATATAATTGGATTACATTCGTCTGTAGGGCTCTCTGGTGTACAATAAATATTCGTTATCGTCTTAACCGGCAGTAATTGTCAGAACATTCAGAAAAACCCAACATTTTATGACCAAAAGACGAGGTTTTATTACTGTGATACTCGGCCATTTACGAATTGAAGTTTAGAGGTTGGATTGAATGTTAACGATGATGCTCGTGTCTTAATAACCATCATTACATGATCGTTGCATAATATACTATTATAGGTACAGGGGTATTCCAATTTGAGTTTCAACAGGGATATCGCAATCCTGAAAAGATAGAGAATAGATTGAATGGTGGCAGAGTTGACTATTTTCGGGTACAATTCAAAGAATAAATCGACTCTAGCTTGTTTGACTACGAACGTCTAAGGGAACCCCAAACTGTGAGTTTTACTGTATCTACTTCGTTCACGGAGATATTGAAAATCTGTTTTAACGTCGTCACGGAATTATTTGATTCACTATCAGTTTCGTCCATGAAAATTTTAGGTATACAAGATAATATCCGACTTGGGTCATCTCAATTTCTGAACACGAATTTTTTTTGATCGGCAATGTTCATTTCATGATGTTGAATCGAATTGTTTTCAATGATTTTGGGAGTTTTGGTGATCTGATAATCACCAAGTAAATTATTATTTTTTCTTACGGCCCTTTTGACTGCATTATTGTTAACACTCCATTATTTGAATGAAACACGAAATTCCTCAAATGTGGTGGAAAAAGCTGATCCCATTTTCTTTCCGTAAATGGACTTGGTCTTCTCAATTCTGTTTTAAAAAAAACTGTTTAAAATCTGTTTTATCGTTAACCAGCCGTCGCACCCCTACGAACAATAACCCTTAGAAGTCGAAACTTGTGCGAGCTAAGGATTAACGAGGTCTTACCTTTTAACATGTGATTTATATCACGGATTGGACGATGGCAAATGAAAATCGACCATTCATCCTGTGGGTTGAACCACCGACCAATACGGCAGTTTATTCGAGTGAGTGAATAAAGCACCCACGTCGAACCGATTGGCTGTCGACCGACCAATTTGGAACTTATATGAAGTTCTTAAGAAATTTTGAATATTATTCATTGCCGCAGGAGCTGAAGTGAGGACATGAAAGTTTGATGTTTTTGAACCCTCGAGAGTTGTACAAAGTAGGAAAACCTTCCTGAAAATATCAAAACATATAACTCATTTCCGTACATGGTTCATTTACCTGATAATAGATACAAATGATAATAGAGACAATAGACAATCTTGAAGAATTTATTTAATGATTATCAAATTGCTGAAACTCACATGAATATCGTGAGAAAGTCAATCAATTGATATTGTATAAGCATTGCTGCTTAAAAGTCACTACAAAAATTCAGGTCCGTATTTAAAATTTAGAAGTTAAGTTGTCCTAAGTTGAGCGACGACATGTTGAAAAAATTGTTTCAATATATTCTAATAGCTCATTAAGTTCCAACAGAATAAACATATTTCGATCAGCTCTGCTAATTGAGAAGATGAAGCAAAACATAAAATTGTAAGATTTTTATTTTTGTCAGTATAAGTCGGTAACTAAAAAAGCCAGAGTCTGAAAATATAGATTACGGCCCTCATTATTGATGAAAATTTCGTTTTTGGTTTTCTACTTTTTCAATAGTATACAGTGTGTTCCCAAAGTGAAGAAAAAGTTCTATAAAATTGTTGTCGGAAGTATCTCAGAAAAGTGGTTGTTGAGATCGATTTTTATTTTCATATTATTGTTTTTTGGGCATGTAACTCTTTCGATTTTTCATCTTTCCACCCACAAGCGGTGGCAGTCACAGTAATTCAAATGGCAAATTGTCTTCTGTGATAATTCGAATGATATAAAACCGCGGACACGTGTCCGCGGCTCTGGGCCTTGTCAGCCAGATGTGAAAATGGGCAACACTTGTTTGCCGAAACGTACACATAAGCACGGAGTCACCAAAAGGAACCAACTGTATATTCGTGGTTTTCGTCACAGAAAACTGGGTGTTGGTGAAAGGAGTTGGATTAGTTAGCATAAAAAACCCAAAAGTGAAAACATGATACCCAGATCTTTCAGCAATGTCAGTCTTTGATTGAAAAACCCATCCCAGTAGCATAAAAGTACTGAAAAAATTTTAGATGACCTTGTAACAATAGCGATTTGACATGGAGAAATGAAATGCACCTGCAGCAAAGTCAAAATTGATAATTCTGATAGCTCAGTATATTTCCCTGCCTACAATTATTAGTCGAAAACTAATTACAGTAACAGGCGATTCTAGCGCTAGATAATTTTTGATCAGCATTGCAATTCATAGAGGAAATGCTGCATACATTTTTGGCACTATGTCTCCTTCTTAAAGTCTTGATGAAATTTTTTCCGCCCACAAAATTGATCTGATATAACAAAGTTTCCAGATTTAACAGATTTCCCCCAGCTTCTTCTATAGAAAATTATCAAATCGGTAATAAAAGTAAATCAGAATATAGTTTTAAAACTTTTGTGGTAGAAGACTCAACAGGCAACTCAAGTCATGAAAGGACAAATGCAGAAGAGAAACAATGTTCAAATCCGTGGAAATTTTGCGGTGATTCAACCAATAGCCAAATCTCCACCTTTTGACCACCACCCGCACACTGTGATGACCCACCATCATCGGCCTATGTCTGTACCCGTCAACAATTTTGACGAAGTCGCTATTGACCAGGATGCCGAAAACAAGTTCAACAACAATCTTCTCATATTCCCTTTCAAGCACTCCAGAAGGTACCGCCAGTTTGTAGATCCAGACTGTTATATGATGGCTACGTTTCTATCTACATACACGATCGACGGTAGGGCAGTGAACTTGCAGCGAAGAGGTCTGCTTAATCAAAGCAATTACTGCTACATCAACTCGACTTTGTAAGCCCTAATCGCATGTCCACAACTTACTGAACAGCCTGAAGTCTACCCGGTTGGAATGCGTCGTTTTGTGGATCAGTTTGTTTACTCATTTCCTACATTAGGATGAAAGACGGAAGAGTGGATGAAAAAATCAAGAATGACCAAGAAGTTATAATCAACACGGGCATCCCATTCGGTTCGACGTAGATTTATAAAATGTTGCATAATATACGGACAGACTGGATCCAGGGTAGACAACAAAATGCGGAAGAGTTTCTATGTTTTCTTCCGAATGGGCTCAATGATGAAATGTTTGAGCTGAAGGAGTTGGTTGAATATTACACTGAAGATAAAAAAAAATTCTCGTTGACTCTGTTTTGAGCAATGATTCAAATAATGAATGGAACGTAATGGAATCGAAAAATAGAGGGCATTCAACCAGAAGGATCCACTTCATCAGTACACCGATAAGTGACATCTTCGGAGGCAACTAAAGTCGGTTATACTACTGAGAATATCCAGCCTTTCCTTACCCTGCCACTCAATATTAAGGAAATGAAGACTGTCAGAGAAGCGCTCAAGGTACTGGTCTGCAAGAACAGTTCAGAGGGGCTGACTTAGTTGAAAACTAGGTTAGGCTAGGTCAGGTCTAAAGTGAGTGGGTCTATTCGACCCCCATCGCAACCCGCGAGGGTTTATTGTGGCTCACACCTATTCACACTCGACCAAATGAACCCAGCTTCTTAACGAAGCTGATTAGCTGGTATGGTGCGTGTTATTTCAGGTCATATAGTAAGAATACGGCTCTGCAGAACTCTAAAAACCTAATTCGGTCCCCAGCGGGGCAGCGTATATGTTCTGCTGTTTTATCAATAATGAGGTAGCCAGATAGTCAAGGTGCAAGATTCTCATCTTGATACCCGCGACAACCTTCCCCTATGAGGGTTTTTGCACGTCAGCTACACCTGACGATACCTTAGATTCAAATGTGCAGGGAAGAATTTTGGTGAATCATCATTTGAGCGCAAACGTTTGCTAACCTGTTCATGAAGGTTTGTTCGTCTACCTGAGACAGATTCTGCGTATGCCGCTCAAGAATTTAGTGCAAGGTGGTTTTAAAAGGTATCCCTCTCTAGAGGAGACGACTCAATCGTTTCCTGGCTGCACCACCTAACTTCTTTTTTTTAGGTTCAGTTATTGGATCAGGAGTTGGGGAGTTGAGAAGTTCTCGCTCCTGAACTAAATTTACAGGGAGGTCAATTGGAGTCGTAAACTCGACATTCATTTCCTCTGTAGACTCGTTCCTTATATAAATGTAGAGGAAGATGAGTTGTAGT